AGGGTAATATGTAAAATGCAAGCTGTTCACTGGTGGATTAATAAAGCGCCCTTTCCAGACAAAGAATTCACGGAAATGATAGACATTCTATTCAAATTACCACGTAAGCAAGTAGAAGATTACTATGCCTACAACTGGAAGGATGCACGTATTAAATTCAGGCCAACTGCTCTATTGCGTAAGGCAGTGCCCACCCAAGAAGTGATATGTCAAATACCAACTAACCAGCGTGCCAAAATAGTGCCATTATACAGGTTTTGGCTCCAGACAATATCATACCATATGACCAAATTGACCCACAAGCAATAGGTGCCTTGAAAGTCATTAAAGACACTGCCCTGTCATCTCGCATGTCTATTGTAGCCCAAGCACAAGTTTTAAAAAGTATGATGGACCCAAAAGTGAGGTTTTTACCATCTTTAAGCGGAATGTTTAAAAAGAGGTGTGGCGCAGTGGACATCTCAGATGCCGCATGGCATTTGAGGTTAAGCTGTGTCTTGCTGCTTGATCCCGGATGGGTTACCACCCGGGATTTTTAGCGGCGACCCACGCTATCAACCCCGGATGCATGGCTGAAATGCCATGCACCCCAGCGACCGAACTGGCATAAAGTTAGCCATAGCCACTCCCGGTCAATACGCCATATGCATAAAAAAAAAAGATTTTAAACATGCAGCTTTATCAATTTTGCCAAGTATTGAATCAGTAACATTTTTGGATTTATTACAAATGATTCACGATTATAAGCTTAAAGAATCGTATCCAAGTATTGAAATTGCTATAAGGATTTTTATCTCAATGCCCGTTACAACTGCTTCATGTGAAAGGAGTTTCAGCAAACTTAAATTGATAAAAACTTACTTAAGATCTACAATGGTTCAGGAGAAATTATCAAGCATGGCTATACTTTCAATTGAAACAGAAATCGCTAGTAAATTGGATTATGAAGAAGTTATTGACAAATTTGCCGACGAAGCAAGGAAAATAACTTTATAAATAATAATTATTTTATTTTATTTATTATTATTATTATTAATTATTATTTTGAAACACCTTATAAATTTGTTAATTTCGAATTGATTTGTTTACTATAATGTAAGGTTGAGAATTATAAACTTGTGGCTAAAAATATTATTTCTTGTTTTGCTCGAAACCTAATTAAAAATTTACAGATTTTTTTGAAAAATAATAAAAACTGGGAGTGTGTCACCCCACCACCCAGGGGGGCGCATTGCTAAAGTTCTGCCTCAGGATAAAAAATGGCTCGGTACGGCTCTGGTTATAGTGGTTAAGTGAGTCGATGACTTATTAGCATTTAAATCATAGATTATAATTAAAATGAAACTTAAAAAACTCAATCTCTCTTATAAATGTGAATTTCTATGAAGGAATTTTTCAGCTGGAATATCTCAGAGACGGTAGAAAAAAATGTATATTTTTGTTTTATTATAAATTTGAATAAAAATCCAATTTTCCCAATTTTCAGATAGTATCAAAATTAAACATTTGCTTCTACTCCATCCGGTGGATTTTTATAGCTTAAACATCAAGGTGAATATTTTTTTTTTCAGCTTTAGTACCCTCCTAATATTGTAGACTATAATAGTCAAAGGCTAATAGTTCTACAAGGTAAACTATGGCTACTAAACGAGTAAGCTGTAAAAGCAATCGGAATAAGATCCAAGTACCTATGAAAAACGAATTTTACTTTACAGCAGTTTAAACTCGACACAACGACTCCGAGTTCAAACCTCAAAACGTATCCGAGTTGATCGGGTATCCGAAATAGTTTATTATTAATAAAATGTTACCCTAACAGCACACACATTTCTTTTGTGTTCTTAGGGTACATAGGTGTAATCACAATAAACAGCTCAATGGACAATAGTTATATAGATCAGACAGTTTTATGTTTTGTAAAAACTGAATATGTACCTATACCATAAACTATAATGTTTAAAATGTAGATAGATGTTTACAAAAAAAAATTATTCTGTTAGAAGAATAGACTAGGGTATCTAATCCATATGGACTAATACCAATTGCAGGTAGAAGCGACTAGGGTCAGTTAAGAAACATGTAAACTCCACCGCCAACAAAATTTTACCTGTAAATATAAAATATGTAAACTCCATCTGTACGTATTATACATAATATCAGTATTATATTATAATATGTCGGATTTTATATTTTGATTTTTGTATAATACATTAATACTTGTATTAATTGCAGTTAAATATTATATCTTTAAATAATTTTAGCACAGAATAATATAATAATTGGATCTAATATTAAACTCTATGATTTTAGTTTTATTTTTTGGGCAATGTCGAGTTTTTATTACAGTAAAGAAGGGTGTCTGGACAGTGAAAAAATATGAATTTAGTCCACGGGCATATGAAATACAGTTACCATTAAGTTAACGAAATGGTCGTACGAATACATAGTGAATATAGTTTTGCATCGTCGGGTGTTACTATTGATTTCTTAGACATTGTACTGCTTATAGCATGCACACGATGTAGAGAAGATAAGGTGACACCACTCAACTTCTTATCAGTAAAAATCTGGGGTCGAATGCTTCAGGCATTTTGGTAGTTCAGCTTCGCTGTACAGGTGGCGCCGATATTTTCTATGCGGCTTATGGACGATAAACGTTTTATTTTTTATTTTTATGTTAATTATTCTTTATGTGGAGTTTTTATTATTTTTATTGTCTTATTTAGTAAAACAATTATTTTGTTAACTTTTTAATTGCGAAAACTGTGTTTTTTAATGGTATTAAAGTAAATATTGGCACTAGAATATAGCTTTCATAATTAATTAAATTCAATTTATTCTAATCTAGTCTATGTCCAGCACAGTTATTTATTTTATTATTTTAGCTACTCTACTAATATAAAGTAGTATTCCAATACTAATTAGTCATTAGTATACATGGTCATAATTTCTAAATTCTAGATCAGAATAATAGAATAAAACTATAGTAGAGCAAATATTGCCAATAAATTATAAATCTAAAAGATCTACATTAGTCAATGAATGTTATTTGTAAAAATTAATAAGAACAACAGTATTTTGTAATTATATATGCCACGGTTTATTATGTAGACACAAAATATAAACAATTATTTGTGATGCAAATATCATCTCTAGGAACACAATGCAGAGATTATGTCGCTACTTCGTCCCTAGGCATTGCACGTATGGTTGGGCTTGAATTTCACGGTAGTCGGGCTTTCGAAGACACTTAATTGGGGTTTATTAAAGTAATTAATATCCACCTTACACAAGCGATGCTTATTTTTCGGGGGTAAATTAAAATAATCGGAAAGAATGTATTGTTATGTACAGTGGTGTATTACAAGGGGGGGGGGGTTCGGGTTTAAACCCCCCAGAGCCAAAAAAAATTGTGTTTTAAGTAATATATTATAGGTATTTATTATATAACTGTTACAATGTTACTCTCTGAAGTAATTTAGAACTTGAAGTAAATAAATAATAATTTAATAATTATATTTTAATTATTAAGTGTTAAGGGGAATTGCGGCTACCTAAGTAAGAATTAAAATATCTTCGGAACTATAAGTCCAGAAATTTCGTTATTCTTTTGGACAAATTATTCTTTAGACCTTCAACAACTATAAACTCAATTTGAAAAAACTTCTCTGGTGCTTAAAATTCGATATAGGAAGGGGGAGGGAGGGGTTGAGGACAATTTTTTTCTTGTACATAATACGTGTTATTATATTATATATCGTATAGAATAATTTCATATATTGTTATAAAAGGATAGTCATCGTTCGACTATAAACGTATTTTGTGGAATAGGAATTACTAATTAGAATAAATAGTACATTTAATTAGACTACACATACGAATATTGTGGTTTTTAAAATAATATGTAATCTATAGTCCTGTAATAAAATAAAATTACATGTAATATATTTTTATTTAGTAATAAAAATGACAGTAACGTATAATATGTAAAAAACCCTATTAGCTCCATGTAAAAGTCGGCCTTCGGGCGAATGGTGGCGCTATCTACGTGATAAAACTGTACTACCAAAATGCCGTAATTTCTTGACCCACTGATTTGGTTGGAGTGGCGTCACCTTATCTTCTCTACATCGTGAGCATGCATATTGCATGTAATTCCAGTGAGCTGCCGTGACTGCGCTGTAGGCGGGAATCAATGATGCCAATAGGGCATTTGCTCATGCGCATTTGAGTTCTCAGTGTGGTAGTATATCTATACAGTATTTATATCCATACAGTTTTTTACCATAATATCATGCTTTTTACTACTAGACGAAGCATCCGGGCGGGTAGTACGAGCACGGCTAATGTCGTGTATATATATTATATATACATTAACATTTATAATACCCAACCGGAACTCAATTGCACATGAACGGACCGGGTGCCGTCACCATGTTGCGCCATCAGCGCAGTCACGTCGGCTCGATGAAACTACATGCATGCTCCGTTTAGTAATATAAGGTCTATAAGTACCTATGTTTAAATCATTAAAAAAAATATTATTGCTTCATCAAAAAAAAAACGCAATGCAGGACGTCATTAAATCAGTATTTCCATAATCCATATTCTCCTACATAGTATATGCGCGATCATACTTGAAAAGAGAGCAGCGCACCTAGTGTTAGTTATTTACCCCAATATATATCCAAATACGACGACAACCGTGCTCGCACCACCCATCCGCATCCCACCCCGATGCTCCGTCGATTAGTAGGTATAAGGTCTATGATTAAATTTTTCGTACCGAATATTTGGTTACCGAAAAATATAAGGCGTGGTCCAGCAATGTATGTTCAATCTCAGCCGGGAGATAAGTAGTCAAACAAGCAGCGACAACACTGCATTTTTATCCCTAATGGCCACGCCGTCTCCCGGCGGAGGTGAAATTCCACTCTAAATTAACCTCCATATTGTATATTATCAATTGTTGTTATCAGTAAAAAAGGAAAGAAGAAAGTTAGCTGTTAGTACAATGCTATGCAGTATGCACTATGCAGTATGTTTTTCGTTATAAGAACACCATGTCATGAGTTCAAACGTTCCGTTTGACAGGTTGGACTATATTTTAAAAAAAAAGTGAAGATTATTTTACTCGATCAAATAGTAGACCATTCAACATGGACGGGGACGACTTTATAGCTGGTCACCAGGTAGTTTCAATACGTAATCATCTAATTGTAAAACTTTTTACGAACTATAAAAATGTGATTTTTAAATATCCACAATGTTTTGTTAAAATTAAACGTCATAAAATAGCGGTTACATTAATATTCACCATTTATATCGATTCACTTTTCGTGATGTTATTCATTGTTAGCTTATTTTCTTAAGATAACCTAAATACATAAATAAAAAACATATTAAATGTTCATTATATCACAACAATGTTTAAATATGTGTATAAACCATAATAATATATAATATTACATTATGCTAGTGATTGTTGTTTATGAGCTTAGCGTTGTACTAAACCGTTCAGTGCCAAATGTTACAAATTTGCCACAAATTGTATTTTTATATTAGGTATATTATTATAAAACTAATAAATCATCATTTCAGTTAAAAACTAGTTCCAAGTTTGTAACACTTGGCATTGAAAAGTCTATTGTTATTAAACATTTTAGTAACTGTTTATATTACATTTTTTACTTTATTGCTAATAACACTTTAACTATGTGTTTTTGGTTTAGGCCAAATTCGAGGATGAATTTGAAGAAGAAATATATGATGAAGACAAGTATGATGCTCTTAATGATGAGACTTTTGGAAATGATATGTCAGGTAAGATGAGGTTTTCATAATATGTTTGTATGCTAAATATATTTACTTGTCATGGGCTTAGGTCTCCGAGTGTTTTGGCACTCGCTCGCTTGGCGCCATCGCTTCGCTACGCTAACTTAAAATATCCTAGGTTTGCAGGCTACAGTCTAGGAGATCACAGGTTTTAAGTAAAGTCGGTTTAAAATGGTTCTAGAAGCCATGTCACGTGTCCGGCATAAAAAAAAAAGGACGACGAAGGGCGCGTATAGTTAAATAGGGGAAATATGCAAATTTAAACTAGCTAAACCTTTTGAACTAACGGAGTTCGCCTAATTCTGACTCAGATTCATAAAAAGCTTAAAAAACACTAAAATATGGCAAAAAAAAATGTTGTCTGGTAAAGTGCATTTATACTAAAATTGATAATCTATATTCTATTACTTAATATAAGTCAGTAAATAAATTATTTTGAATTCCCCCCTTCTAATAAATTCAATAAGCAATTGTTCGCCTTGGATCTTGATAATATTTTGAAGTTGACTATTTATTAAGGGTTACAAAATTCCTTTGTCATGATTCAAATTTAATCTAATTGTAAGTTACAATTTTTGTTTTAATTAATTTTTTTTAAGGTTTACTAATGACGGTTTATCATAAATCGCTAAGTTAACCAGTCAAAATTAGACGTTGCCGTCAATTGTAATTTTGATTTCCCTCTGTCTATTTTGCCTAATAGAAACAGTTTGATAGAGCATTGCGTTTCATTTTGAATTATTTGAAGTAAAACTACAGATAACTTAGCTGTAGGAATTTGGTTATTTCTACATTAACCTAAAAATATATTTTGTTGTTAATATTTCAGTTTAATGTATCTATTTCAAGTTTTAGAATACACATAAAAAAACATATAACATTATTGAAAATACACTGCTGATAATATTCATATAATGTTAGGGTTGTGGTGTAGAATATATTATCTGTGTTTGATTGTTCCAATATTTAAAATTTATTTATAAAATAATAGAAAACTTTTATTTCAAATAATTCCATTTGGAAAAATGTTCATTTGAACATTTGTTAAACCCAATATTTACTTGTGTTATAACATTTGATGTATTTAATACTTACCTTGTGTTCGAACACATACCGGCTACCATGATGAATCGTGGAGGGAAAGATTACAAAATTCATGTAGGGAAATTTTAAGCTTAACATTGTTCAAAAAAATTTGTTATCTACTAAAAAAAATTAAAAGTACTAGAACCATTAGATAAGCTTAAATTATGTGTAGAGTAATGAGGATAGGTCAATATTCAGTTTTTTAAGAGTATTTGAAAATGCTTTAGGAAATATGGACATAATAAGCGTAAAATCAGCTTGATTTGGCCAATATTATCATTTAATTTAATTTTTTTAATATTTTAAAATTAATTTCAATTTTTTTTATTTTAATAATATAGTATGAATAACTATTGTGATAATAACTGAGTATTAGTTGTATTATTTTATATATGTACTACTTTTTTATATTTGTTGTTCGGAGGTTTGTACCATTGATAATTTGGTTTTATGATAATTTTTTCTCAAAGTACAAGATATTATTTTTAGATCCTCCTATAATTTATATTGTTAGACACTAGTTGGTTACTAATAAAAAAATAGCGGTGAAATTTTTAATTTCTGTAAAATGTTTCATTATAATCTGAGGCTGAGTAATGTGTAATACAATTGTATATTGTTGTATTTTTAGATGATACATGTATATTGCCACATACATTGAGTTTTTTAATTCAAATTATTGTAGTACATTTTTAAAAAAATAGCCTATTATTTATAAAACATTCATTCATTCATCATGCAAGCTTAACAGGCCATGAAGGCCCAATAATGTCATCATGAGATTGTTACTAGACGAATTTGCTATCCGGGATAGATCGTCAGTCCGTCGCTGGAGAGGGGAAGGCGGCTTGTTTTCACTAAGTGTTTGCTCACCCAGCAAACAGAGCGCCCGTAGCCTAGTGCCAAATCAGCAATAGTGAGCATTAACAAACTGTTGCCTTCTCCGCTCGGCCACTCTTCCTCTATTTATAAATTCTTATTAATCATCATGCATAATATAAGTGATCACATATATTAGCCCATACCATTGTTAAGTTTGTAATATTAACTTATAGTTGTTCAACATTATAAAAAAATAAGTTGAAATTAAAAGAAAATATCTTGTTACATAAATAATTCTGTGGATTGTGATGACCCAATGATTGATGCGAACCAATTCCATTTTTGAAAACATTAAGTGTTTGATCTTTTGTAAGCTAAAAATTTACAGCAACTATTATAATCTTAATTATTAAAATATTATCAATATATGTTGTCAACTAAAAAAACATCAAAAACCTTTTTTTCTAGGAGGAGTGTTAACTTCTTCTTTATTTCACATTTTTGAGCGTACATTTAAGAAATTCTGAAAATTAGACTAAAGATAGATCTAAAGTGGAAATTATAACATACACAATTTTCTCAAAAACCTTTATTCAAACTTATTTTTTATACAGAGAAACCATAAAAAAAGAAAAACAACTCTTGCATTGTATTAAAATTCCAGGTTGCTTTTTGTAAATGAATAAATTAACTGTTAACAATTATAACAAAAATATTATCATAGTATTGTTGATTTGCCTATTGGCTATTAGTAACAACAAGTTATTAGGAACAGATGATTAACCATAATTTTACCTACCCTTATACCAAAAATATAATTGTGGGCGTGAGCGTTTCACACTAAAAGCACAACTCTACAAAGTGCTTAATTTTTTTTTAGTAATGACAATTTTAATAAAAGTTTCAAACAAATGTTATACCTAGCTCTTTCAAACAATATAATGCAAATCTGTATACATATATTTAAGACAAATTAATTAAACTTTAGAGCACTTAACTGCATTTTTACTACATTTTTTTTACAAATCTCTAATTGAGGTGTTTTCAGGACGAAAGTCCCATCGATCGATAGATCTTTTCCAAAGATAATTTTTAATTAATCGCTATAATTAAATTAAATATATTATGGTAAAATTTTCTTTAACTTGTGGCATTACTGAGTAAAGTTATGACGTAATAATAATCAGATAACAACTACTCTGGTGATAAAAAATGTCACTTTCCGAATAAAGGACCCATCGATTGATATGCTTTTATCCTGATTACGATTTTGTTTATTTAAAAATTTTGTTAATTTTTTTTTTAAAAGCTTAGTTTTGTTAAGAAACATTTTATCCTTTGGAAAAGGCACATGAAGTAATTGTATATTATTAAGGAAATTATTTGAAAAAACCCATATATGTCACATAAATCCACGAATAAATTATTTGAATAAGGTCTAACTATTTTAATACATTTGTAATTTGTTAAAGATATATAAAGTCAAAATGGTTTACAATACAATTCATGAAAACTTTGAAAATTCTGCTTTTTCTCAAAGCCATAATTTTGCTTATAGGCTCTTTTTTTTCTAAAAAAAACGCCTCAATTAGAATTTTAATAATTTTGGAATGGTTTTTATTGCAATAAATAAACCCTACATCTATGTATATTTTATCATTTTGAGATTTTCAAAGCGTTTATTTGACTACACTGTGCAAGTTTTTATTAGTTTTACTTATTATAATTTATTTATAAAAAATTTTAAAAAACTTATTCATAAATTAAAAATTGATAATATTAATAGATGATTGGGAAGCTGACCATGAACAATATGCTAGAATTGATGAAGAAACAAAAAAACGATGGCCTGATACTGTAAGTACTGAATCATAATTTTATGTTAACACATAAATAATTCTATGCAGAATACATTTTATGTATGTAGTAACAGTGGCGTATTAACGTGGGGGTATAACCCCCATATCTTGGCCTGGGAGGTTATTTGAAACATAATTTAAAATATAACTGTCACACCTGAAGAAGTACTCAATATTCATTCACTGTCCTCAAGAAAATTAGACTTTGTTTTGTAGTTAAGAACCCTAAATTTTTGTTTACATGCAATATGTATATAATAATATGAATATATGTTTATATTGAATAGGTATGGCTGTTAAAATCTGTAAATCCTTCCCCGTGGAAAAATTCTAGATACGCTACTGTGTAGTAAATTCTATTAGTTAAGGGTTGGGTAATTAAAACTTTATTTTATGTTAAAACAATCTAATTATCCAACTATCATAGCTATTATTTTAAATATCTTTTGTAACACATACTTTTTACCGTAAGCAAGTCATCATTCCTTTTTCCTCAAATTCTCTCACCTCTTCTTCTGTTTAATTTATTTATCATCAAAACTGAATAACATGACTTATTAAACTAGAAAATGTTCGACTAAGCTGATAAAACAATAGTTTTGTAATTGTTTACTCTCTTTGCTATGTGCAAGTAGTCATGTAAATACTGATATTCTGTATTCAGTAAATATTACAACTTTTAATGTTGTTGCAAAATATAAAACTGGAAAGATAATGAATATTTTTGTTATCAGGAATTAAATGGTGATTATACAGACTCGTTACCTTCCGATAGTATATTCAACGATCCAATAAAATCACTACCTGATTTAGAAAGAGAATTAAGACAATTAAGCACGTTCAGTCAACAGTATGATATTCCAGTAAGTTAACTACATTTTTAAAAAAAAATTATTCATAACAATGTGTTTAAACTAGCTTAAATATTTAAAAAATATTTTTTTTTAATTTAATAGAAATACTAATAAAGTTGTTGTATTATTGAAATTACATTTTTTGGTCATATATTAGCTTTGATGCGAAGCTGAAAGATATTGTTTTTACTAACAATAATGTGATTTTATTTTATTTTTTGTGTCTTGACCCACAGAATTTTCTAAACAGCTAATCACCTTCCTCTTTAAAAAAGAAAAAAGCTCTGTAAAAATGTATACATTTTTCAACTTATTTACAAATTTGTGTTTATTTTTTAGGCATAGTATTTGCCATATAACTTAAGTTGACAGACCTAAAAAATAACAAAAATTCTTTCCCCCACAAATGAAGGGTTCAAAACTTTTTCTTATTTTGTTTTTATACGTGTAGTTTTAGTGCATACGGTTTGAAAATTAGACTAAATGTAGCTTTAAAGTCGGCCTACAACAATTTTATCAAAAAATCAGTAGAGCAATTTTATTATATTAAGAACCCCCCCTTCCAAAAAAACAGAAAAATTTCACTAAGAATTAAATTTACATGTTGCTTCATGAAAGTGAAACACAGTCAACAGCTATGAAAAAAAAAAAAAAATTCATTAAGTTGTTATTCACCCATATATGGATAGCAACGACAAGAAATAATTATTGACTACAATCAACCCTAATCGTATCCTCCCTAATTAGGGAGGATATGATTATTTAATAAGGTAAAATATGTTTTTAAGCAGATTATGTGCTTTACAATGCTTTTATAGATATCCGTATATCTACAGATTCACATTGAAGCATTTATTTGAGTCATTTGAATCAATTTCAGTAATAAGCTAAAGACCTGTGCCCTACCCCACCCTAGTAATGTTTAAGTATCATGTTACTAATCGAGTATTTAGTATTTAAATAATGTTTTATAGTGCTGTAATATTGTTTTTAGTTCAGTACAGCATATTACAATAATTGCAGCAATTAAAAAAAAAATTGTGTAAAGAGCTTTATTTATTTTTTACTATTAACAAAAAACAATTTGCCAACTAATAATATTAATCGTAATAAACCTTTTACAATATGAAAATTGTATAAAATGTAAGAACATTAAGAACTACTAAATACATTTTACATAAACTAGATGTCATGAACATAAAGTTTGGTTTTCTTGAAAAGATAACTTTTTACAAAAACATTTATTTGCTTTTTATTATTTTGTAGCCGAATTTGCAGTATCAAAATAATTTAAATTTTGTTCAACAAAATTTTGGTAATGTGCCAATTAATGATTGTGGCCCAATTAGAAGACCCATTCCACTTCATGGTTTTAATCCATTATCACGGGTAAATAGCGAAATATTACTTATAATCATACTCTTATAGAATAAGTTTTATTTTAAAATTTTCATTATATCGTTATCGTCATATAAAAACTGACTATGTGCAAGAAGTGACCATGTGAAATGATATTATAAAATGCGTGATTTGGACTATATTATTGTACAAAAAAAATATTACAAAAACTATAAAAGTACACTTACGATTACTTAAAAGTCTCTTTAAGTCACTTACGTGACTTAAATACGATGACGATATACATCATGTTTATAGTGATTTCACTTTGTGAAAAATTGCCTGTGCTTTACTCTTTTATGTTAATGCCCTCTTAATTCCAAGGTTTGAGTATCTTTTTAATGTAACTACAGTATTTTTTTGTTTTTGTTGCTTACAATGATTCATTAACCATAAATAGTAACATATTTTAGCACACGAGGTATTTTTATCTCTGCTAACTTACAATTAGTTATCTGTGATTGTTTGTCATACATGTTGAATTTTAATCATTGTCTTGTGTTTAAAACTAAATGAATAAAAAAAATGTACATTGACTATTATGTTAGTCAATAGTCTGTAGTCAATTTTTCAAGGTTCTGGTATAGAAATGTTCAACTTTGTGTGTGGAAAGTAGAAAGAATGTTGTTATAATGTTCTAACCAACACTTATAAAAATAAATTATTATTTGTTGTAGTTTACTTTTTATATGATTATCAAATTATGACATACATAAAACGTATTTCAAAATCTTACAATAATTATAAAAAAAAAATAATAATAATTTGAAATTACTATTTTTTTAAAATATTTTCAACATATGGTTATTCTTAGAGTATTAAACTGTTAATTATTAAACATTAGTGAATTTTTTTCTTTTAGTTATAAATCATTTATGTCAAGTTATAGCTTTTGCCATAATAAAAAATAAACATATTTTTAATAACATGTTAACTAATTATCTAGTTTATTAAAGTAGTAACTTTATCAAATACGTTTTCAACTAATATAGAAAACAATTTTAGCGAAGAATATTTGTATTCCCTTTCAAAAAAAAAACTACTTTATTTCAGTCTGAAGTAAAGAAATATTTCAACCAATCACTGATTTAACATTAATTTCATCTTAATTGTTGTTATAATTGTCATTAATAATATAAAAATTTAAAAAATTTTACAAATAAAATAATATTTTCTAAAATTATTTCTAGTTTTTGTTAAAGTATATTTTTTTTATTACTAGAATATGTTCAATCCGCCACCAGGGTTCCACGAGGCAAATAGCCATTTTGATGGTGCTGCCATTAAATCACAAGTTATGTCATCTGCAATAAGTGTAGCTGATTTAGAAAGACAATTGGTATATGTTTTATTGATTTATTATTTATTAATATATTATTTATTTTCACGAAATGTATGTATTTATTAATATGAGTTAATGTTCATTATTGATTATTGTGTTTTGTGTATTGTTTGTGTATTAACAAGGATCGTTTGTGAATTTATAAATAATCTATTATAATATGTAATGGTGTATGTATATACTAGGGGGTCCATACTTTATCTTTTTTGTACTTGTCACCCCCTCAATTAATTAACTTATCTTAGGAAATGTGAGTATACCAAATTTTCACTAAATTGAACTAGAGTCATTGAAAAACAATCATAGTGCTTTATTTTAAAAATAATTTCATTACAATTTGTTATTTAAAAAAACATTGTTGGATATAAATTTATTGGAACCTAAGTATGGGGTAAAATGTAAAAAACATATTTACTGTTATAATCTGTTAAAATTATATTAAAAATCACTTCTTTAGTAAAAAAATTAGGCTTAATGATAATATAAAATCAAGATTTTAAGTTGGAGCAATATTAGGTTTGATTTCGGCAGAGATTTGTATTGACCCATATACTGCTTAATATATTTTCAAGTGATTGAATAGAAATTTAAAAAATTTGATGTATAATAAAAAACAAATAAATAATGTATTTTTAAAAATTAAATTGTTTGGTTGAATAAAAAAAAAAAAATTTGAAACATGATAACAAATACATTTGTCGTGTAATGCAAATTACAGTAGAACAATTAAAATTAATAATTATTATACAATTCATTTATTTTTTTATTTATATTTCTTCATTAGTAATATTTAAGTATAAGTTATAAATTACTTGTAACTCATTGAAATTGTGTAGTTTATAATATTTTAATTATTTATCACTATATAGATTGAATCAGCAAAAGTACTGCCATCTCAATTCTCACAACTACCACCGCCACCAGCAGAAATGAATGCTAGAAAAGTATTTGTACCAATTCCACAATATTTTAAACAGAATTACAACAAATACAACTTACCTACCTTTGTTCCCCATTCAAATTCAAGTGAGTTAAATTATTTTAAAATATTTTTTTTTCAAATATTAATACACACGTTATTTTGTTTTTTTGCTGTAGTTTTTCAACACCTTCCTCCTCCACCAAACATAGGAAATGTTAATAGACATCATACTAATATGACTTTGGAACAACATCAGTATCATAAAACAGTAACATAAATTTATAAAAAAAAATTTTTAGTTTAATATTAAATTTATATAATTTTTTATAGAATGACTATATGATTGAAGAGCCTCATGATGACGCTGCAGGATTCATGACACTCAGAGAAAAGCATTGGTTAGCCGGCATACAGACAATTCAATTTAATAACAGTAACCCACTAGAAGATGACTTCTATTTCACAGTTCGTAAAATTATTATTTCAATCGTTGATCTTATAATATTAGGAGTGAGCTTGAATGGGATGTAAACAGGTCTTGAGAGCTGTGCTGGACAAGATAAGTGCCATAGGAAGGCAATGAGCAGAGGTGGCATAAAATTAAATAAAAATACACTGCTAAAGAGCAATACAAGAGTAAAATGTCTAGACTCGATACGACTTGGCAACTAACCATTTTTAAAAACATTTATAAACTGAATATTTTATAAGATACTTGTATGTTACTATTTTTTTTTTTTTTTTTAACTCTAAGCATTGCTTACAGTACTTACAACTCCCCTTAGCTAAATACAAATTATTATATGTGTTTGTATTCAGAGTAGCTTATCTATTAAAAAATCAATGATATTGTGGTACCATAAAATAGATTACACACCCATATTTTATCCGCGAAAATGGTTTTACAGAGGACAAGTGTGTGAGGGCAGTAACAGTATCCGTATAAAATGTTTATAATGGATAGAGAAGAACTTTATTTATGCCGTATCGTTTTTTGATAACCAAAATTATTTGTTCATTAACTTTCATTTTCTTCTTTTTTCATTTATTTCTAAAAAAAAATTAAGAATTTATATCAAAAAAATAAAAGTGCTGTGTAACAAAAAATGTTCTTCTCTATACATTGTAAACATTTGTTTGTTCTATTGTTAACTACTGGCCTCACATACTTATCCCGCACAAAGCAGTTTTGATGTGAAAAAAATTGTAATATCCTATAAAAATAACTGTGATAGTCTGACAAAAAATAGCAATTCATAAAGAGTATAAATAAGAGTTCAAACTTATATTAATGTCTTGAATAGATTTAGTCTATTCTGTGATGGTACTATATTTATGTAATTTATGTATTTTTTTAATAATTTTAGCTTTGATGCGGAGCTAAGGAAGTTATTGTATTTACAGTGATGTGTTTTTATTTAATTTTATTTGAGTCTGTACTCACGATATCTTTTAAACCTCTGAACCGATTTCTTCGAGTAGCAACTCTATAAATCAGAAATCTTACCTGTAAGGTACTTTATTGGACCAATAATTTAAAAACATTTATCCCTTCCCCTTCAATATCAAGAAATACACTAAGCAATTTTACATATTTTTCAACAAAACACACTCCATAACTTTTTTGAAAATAGTTTAATTAATTCCAAATTAATATGGAATATTTTTAAAACATAGAACTACTGATAAATATTGACAAACCAAAAAATTATAAACCCTTTCCTCTAGAAGGAATAGAAATGTTATCTTTATTTCACTTTTTCAAGTAAAGTTTAAGGGATTTAGGTCAAAAAATTATACCGAAGGTAGTTCTAAAATGGGGCTATAATATATACAATTTTTTCAAAAATCTGTAGACAAAATTTTTTATAAGAAAAAAACCAAAAAAGGGAAAATTACACTTTGGCCGTAGACAATTTCTAAGTTGTTGTATGTGAGTGAATCAACAGTCAACAGGTAATGAAAATATTTTCATTATTTTGTTATTTACGGTATATGGTTAACTATAGATTGACGATCAACCCTAATCGTATCCGCCCTAGTACTGAAAAATATTTTTAACCACATAATTGTCATTGATACAATGCTTTTATCGATATTTTTATTTTTATCTGTTTGTGCTGAAAATGTTCAACAATCAGTTTTGAATAATTACTTTTAAAGTTATTTAAGTTTAAAGTATAAGATGTGTGGTGGAGTGCAGTAGAGTAATGCGTGCAGATAAAAATAATTATATGTTTAATCTACGCACCTCCTGTTTTAGATTTTAATCTTTAATAACATTAACGGAATTTACAAAACTGGTTATCGATCAATCTAAATTCTTAGCAAATTATTCTTACTAAAATGTCTATCTTGAATTTTCAAAAAACAGTACCAAAAAAATATGGTATTTACAGCGCAAATAAGTATAAATTAATTTTTAAAAAAAATCCCAAAATTTACACTAGAACAAAAGTTATTTTATTTGTCAAATCATTGTCGGACACCCTATATATAAATATACTTATATATTCTTCTGCGAGTGTCGGCCAGTGGTATTTAAATTTTAGATTCCCTTCTTATATATATATATACTAGCTGCCTGTGTACCCTGCTTCGCACGGGTTAAGAAATACAATTGGAACATAGTACTTACAAATAATACAAATTATTAGTTTTTAATAATAGTTTATATTATTATTATTATATTTTATTATCAATGTCCAATTGCATACCATCACTGCAAGGCGTGTTAATAGTGTAAATATAATACCCCATTCAAGTTTTTATAATAGTTAAATTTTTATTTTAACTATAGATTTTTAATTTACTATATATTCTAGATGTACCAAAAGCGACACCATGGATCAAGTGGTATAAAATCGAATAATAATTCACATCAGCCTGATTTGCAATCTAAATCCCACAATGCGTATACTCCATTGCATTTTGAAAACTCGCTAGGAAAAGTTCTGGTGAGTTTTAATAGATTTCTTCTATGGAAATTTAATAAATTTCCACGGTTTTTAATTATGAACTTTTTTTAGATTGGTAGTGTAATTGCTCCCAGAAAAATAATTGACATAGAACTTAATGACTTTACACCTTCATCATCTCCTTCAAGTCCGTTGAATCCTACAACCAACACTACACGGACCATTGTTGCACAGAAAAAATCCAAACAAATTCTTTTAGAAATTGAACAGGTATTTGAGTAATACTAACCCTATATTTTTTTGGTGGTCGTATGCTTAAGTGTGCCATTTAATTATGTTTTAGATGTACATACCCTTATTGAAAATAGAACAAACTTATTATGCAATAAGAAACAAGTATCAAGCGACGCCTTCAGTGCAAGAGTACATTAATGAACTAACGGAAATTTTAACTAACCATTTACACAATTTAGTAGCATATGCGACAATAAGGAAAGGAAAAGTATGTGAATACCTTTTATGTGTTAGTTAATTGATGTAGTGCAAATCGAAATAATGCTGTTTTAATTTTTAGCAATTGGTGCACCGTATTCTGCCTCACCTTAAAAATCCATCATTTTTATGGAATGCATTTTTCGGGCCTTCCATTTGTACAATTATGATGAAAGATAATGAGGAGCAGCTATTGTTACTGTTTTTACCATATATTAGGCAATGGATATTTTGTTTGTGTCTCGGTGAGATGAACAAAGTCACAGAATGTTTAATGACAAATCTATCATTTGTATTAAAAAATATTGTAAGTACATTTTGTATAACATAAATGTATAGGTACCTAACCTAATACCTTAAAAGATAAACGAGAGATTCAAATTATACAAAATAATAACATTTTTTTTAGTTTGGTATATCGGTAATTGCAAATATGATTGAACGAGCAGAAGAAGTGCGTTTAACCACAGAGCCAGAAGTACTAGAACAATGGAGTATGTTTATGAGCCGTGTCATTTGGTTAAGCTCTGAAACCCTTGTAGAGAGACCAGTCATTGGATTAAACAAAACAATTATTGAACAACATCTAACTAATTTGCCATTCGACCAATCGATCACTGTTGCAAAAATTAATAACTTGATACAAAGACTAAGTTTTTTGGGTGACACATCAAAGAAATAATTTTTAATAAGTAGAAAAAAATAACAACTTTCTTACGAACATTTAAACATTATTTTAAACTAATAGTTTTTTCCACTTGCAAGTGAAAAAAACAACGATAACTTTTTTAGCTTGATATTATAATGATATTATGGACCTTTAAATAAAATTCATGGTATCATTATACCTCCATTTTTCCCATACCACTTTTCTTAGAGGTTTCAGCTTTTTTATGTGTATATAATAAACATTTAATGACAATTTTTAAATGACTGAAAACTAAATTATGTTGTAATGCACTAAACGTTTAAGGTTCTTTATTTTAGTTTTTAAACCAATTATCATCATGTGACATTATACTTTTTTATCATTTAATTTATTATTTTTGTTCCCAACTTTTAGCAAATGCTTAGTATAATATGACATGATTTTATCGTTGAACTGTTAGTAAAAAAAATATCTTTTGATTATGTTTATTAATGTATATTATTTTTGTAAACCATAAATGAACATTTTTGAACATAAATGAACCAAATGAACATTTTTCATTTTTAAATAAACCATCACTTTTTTTAATACTGTTATTAACAATATTGTTTATTAAAAGGAACAATTTATCTATTATTTTTTTCTCTAAAAATAACTTAATTTAATTTTTTTAATTATTTATATACAAAACAATATAAGCATATATATTGTATACAGCAATATAAATATATAATATTTCCCTTAATCATATGTAAAATAGTAAAGTTTTCTTTTCATTTGATCATTATTATTTGAATACAAAATTGTTCTTACATAATATAATTTTTGTCTAAAAAAATATAAGCATATGTATTATATTGTGTGTATATTTCTTGAAGTCATGTCTTGTAATAATTATTCAGTTATTAAATTGTAGTTGTTTTTTAAACCAAGTACTAAAACTAAGGTCAGTAACAAAATAGTAAGCTCATTATTGTAATAATTTTTTTATGTAGCGTTAATATTTAATAATTACTTATTAATTCTCATATTATGAGTAATCATTTTTTTCTTGAAATAATATTCATATAAACTGTTATTTCTAAAATCCTGAATAAAATATAAGAATAAAAAATTATTTTATAAGTATCATAACTACCCATATTTAAAATTTTCTGATTATTTAATTTATTTTACATGTATTAGTAATAATAAAAATTAAAAAAATACATTATAGCTACATAATATATTAAATTATACATTGTATTTACTATATAATTATAATGTATACAAATATAAGGTGATTTATAAACAAATATTTAGCGCTTAATTTTTTTTAATGTCATGAAGCAATGATTTTAGACAGTTGGAGAAATAGATTTTTTATCATGTATTTTGTTTTGTATAAATATTGTCAAATCATAATACTATAAAATTATATTTCTTTATGTAATTAAAGAAAATGTTATTTCCTAAAATCCTTAATATGTGTGTTTACAGTTTGTATTTACACACAGATAGATATTATGCAACATTTTTATTTTTACTAGATTCAATGAAAGTAAGTAAGTATTCAATCCAACATTATAGTCTCTTTCATATCGTTGCTCAAATTTTCAATTCATAATAATTAAAAGTTGTTTACCATGTTTCCAAAAAACTCATATCTTGTGAACGGGTCAAGATAAAGAATTTAAAAAAAATCGACAATGCCCTTTTATTAAGATGCTATGTGTAAAAAATATCAGTAAAATTTAAGACGCAAAAGCTAAGTGAAAATTTAAGAGACACGATTGTTTGTTCACCCGGTTCTTTTATTGAGCGCACATAAATTAATACTAGTTTTTTAAACTTTTAACCCGTTTCTACTGCGCGTCGGGAAATCTGTTGCGCATTAATAGGTCTACTGTCAAAATAAATAGGATCTATTATACATTTTATAATAATTAATACTGAATACATATTATCACTCTATACATATTATGTAGGAACTATATCTGTAACAACTGTGAATAAGTGTGTAAGTCGATTTGAGTGATTTTACAGAGGAGCGATTTTAAACTTGAAAGAAACCACTTGAATACCTCTTAAGTATTTATCAATATAAGCGGATCATAAAAAAATCAAAAGTTTTAAATGAAATCCTGATTTTATGGTAGCTGGTCAGTTTAAAATCGTTCCCCTGTAAAATCATTGAAATAGTGAAATCTACTTACACGATTATTCACAGTTATTTTCAGATAAATATTATATACTACATAGGAATTAGGATGTATCTAGTAAATGGGATGTAGTAGCAAGTGATATAGATCACGGTTGTCTACAACCGTAGACAACGGTAGACAACCGTGATATAGATGTTAGTTATATCATGACCGTATAGACCGGCGACGGTACGCAGTGTTTGTCAAACTTTGTATACATCTCCGTTATCAGTAAATTAATTTAACCGTTTCGACCATGTGCAATCACTGCAATGAAATTATTCGATATTTTCTTTGAGACTAACTTTTAAAATGTTCTCGATTCTGTTGTGATTTGAGTTTTTTTTTTAAATGGATTTCACGTTTAAAAATTGCAATATTCGTTTTTTTTACTACACATTTCGTACGTTAACGTCTACAAAAACAGTGATAATAAAAATGTTGAATTAGTCGTATTTTTTATATGTAACACCGAGTCGCAAATGTTTGTCATAAACGACATTCGGTTTTATCGTAACCGTTCGTATTTTTGTTCATTAAGTCATTAAGTCGGTTTGGAATACTGACGGGAAATGGATCCCAATAAACCGCCACAAACAGTCCTACAACAAGTGTCTGTTACCAAACAAATTACTTTTACCTCTCCGACCAACACTAACTATATCTTGACACCCAGTAACCTTAGGCCAGTTACCAACTACACGATTATTGCCAGTTCACCAGCTTCAAACACGCAGTCATATGTCGCACAGACGGGAGTCCGAACTACACTGCCTCAGTATGTCAACGTACAAGGCGCAACCAATATTCGGCACATTCTGTCTTCCAATTCTCAACCGTCAAACATTACCTATATGTTGCCCTCTGGCGCCCATATTGTTCGGATGAGTAATGTTGTCACTACCACAGCTGCTAATAACCAGAGACTGGGGACACAGTATATACTGACATCGAGTACACAGAGATCTAGTCCAAGTGTTGTACCTCCAACGGGATCAGTGTCACAGTCTTCAATAATAAGCAATGTAGTCGTGACAGATAACAGTGGTAAGTAAAAAAAAACTAAAATAAAAAAAATTATTGTTATCTTACCTGGATAAATTATGTGTTGCTTGTATAGTGTAATTTTTTTATTTTAGCTGTTGTTGGTGAACTGGTAAAGAGGACTGTTGGAATGACTTACAATACTTCTCCGACATTCCAAAGAGCTAGTATGAGACTGAGTGCAGCTTATTTGAATCAAATAAGGAGAGGCGAAACATCCAAAATTGCATTCAGACCTAGTAAGCGTAGATAAATAATTTACTTATAAAAAAATATAAACAATAACATTAATATTTTTCTATAATATAAGGACTAAATGAGCAACAGAGACCACGAACTAGTTTCATTTTAACATCTAGTGATTGGGCGCGTACAAAAAATGTACCAGTCTCAAGTTTACAAAAAATAGGTACTAACTATATGCAAATACCAATAATTCAAAAGACTGCTACCGTATTGCCTGCAAGGACTAGTGTTGATGTACGTGTTGGGCAACCACAAAGACCACAACATCAAGCAATCCGTTCGGTTATATTACCATCAAATTATAGAACAGCGATGTCACCCCCAAGAGCCACAGATTGTAGAGTACTTTTAAATTCTATTAATGTACCTACGCAAGTGAGTTTTGCATGTATTATATCAATTTACATTTTAAGACAAAAAATCTGTGTAGATAAATTTATTTTTTGTTGAATCACTTTGAGTCGAAAGTTCTATAAAGTCAAAAGTCTTTTACCTATTTGACCAAAATATAATTTATTAAGTATATACATAATTGTTACATACAAAGTACTAAAGAGTATTCGAAAGCAATGTTTCTTTGTATCCGTCTATCACACATGCACATGTTTAAACTACTCATAATATAAGGAAATTTTATGAAATGGATTTTAACTTCTCAAAATATCTTCTATTTGGTATGAATTTCCCCATTTTTTATGTTTGTTTTTTGTTTAACTGTAATAGAATCTTTATTTTTTTTAATTAAAAACCGGACCATTAAAGTTGAAAAATTGAAATAAAGTAGATATAGTAATTAAGTAGATATAGTTATTTCTAGATGGCGAATAATTCTAGTTGGGCTTCAGATTCCTTATCACATTAGTAAACTGAATGTCGTATATGTTTGAACAAAAATATGTCTTAATTCTTATAGTGTGTGCCTAAAGGACAGTCCTACCGCTATTCATTTGTTTTTAACAATATTAATTTTATTATGTATTTGTAATGTAGTATATTCTTCTACGTAAAATCAGTCCCCTGGTAATTATAATGAATTGCTTTTATAAATTTTCAATTTTTAGATTATTTATTTCATATATTTACTTACAATATATAAAAATTGTTTATTATAATTATTGTTTTATTCTATTTTTTATAATGATAAATTAGTGGTATTTTTTTTTCACTTTTAGGTATTGGCGTCAACTAACAGTAGACCTCGTATAGCAAGTGTACCAGTTACGAGTATTCAACGGTATAGTACTAACTATATGTCAATTCCACTTACCCAAAAACCAGCAACTGTTCTTGCTCGTGGCGGTCCTCACCCTACTATTGATAATATACGTATTGGTCCACAACAGCATCAGACAATCAGATCACTTATTTTACCATCAAATTACCGAGCTACAATGGTATCTCCGAGAAGAGGTGTAGATTATAGGCTCATATTAAAACCAGTTAACATTCAATCTCAGGTAATGTAAAAAAAAATAATGTAAAGATCATAAATTTATAAATATTAATAAATATATATTGCGTTTTTAGGTTTTAAAAAATTTACCATCCCCACATCATATTTCTTCAAGACAAGTGTCACCGCCTCTACCATCATCTACTCCTAACCGCGTTCCTTTAACACGTCTTCAAAACACTAGAGTCCATCACGAATCTGAGATTATAGCGAGTTCAAAAATCACACCAATTCCATTAAAAGGCAGAAAAGGTCTTTTAGTTATATCTGAAGGAACTATCAAAATGGTTATCAATGAACTCAACGATAGACATGTTTGCAGTGGTGATTCAACTGAACTAACACAGGAAGGAATAGAAATTATGCAAACGGAAGTATCTCATAAATTGTTTCACTTAATAAGGGTATGATTGAATTTAACTTAAAAGTTATTTTATAACTTGGAACAGCTGAGTGAAAAAAGAATAAAATACAAAAAATAATATGAGATAGCCATTTTATAGCTGAATGGTAGACTCATATTATGAGCGTATTAAGGATAATATTCCATTGAAACTTCATTTATAAATTATAGCAGGATTATATTATAACTCCTATGTAAATTTTCTTTAATTTTTCGTAAGTTGGATGTTGAAGAATATAATCCCTCTTCCACTGAGCTGGTCATTTATTTTTAAATTCGACCATAATGCTTTGTTATCTATAAAACCTTTTTTGTTTTTCTCAAACATTTATACTTTACAGTTTGGATACACTTGGATGCTAGTACTAGGTTTTTTTCCTCTTTTTATGTATGAAACCAGTGAAAGGAGGAGTCTGTTGATCACATGGCAAGGGTCTGTTGGCCGTCATTTATTTATATCAATACAGTTATTTAGAAAATCTCATTTACCCCTGTGAGGAGGGGAAGACTCACGTTTTGCTTTAGCAGGTTCTGTACAATTGCAATTAGTGTAACAAACTGGTTGATTTTCACTCTGATTCTCTTGTTTTTCGTGTCCATGATTGTGCCCACCGTATTGATAAAGGCTGCTCGAAACTGTAACTGCTGCTTCAATAGACTACTACGTCTATGGCCCTCCTATGGAATTGTTTTTCCTTGAATAAATAACAGCCTAAACAGGAATCATCATTGCCATTTATTATTCTATGAAGTTTAAACTTTCTTCTTTAGTTTCAGGTGTTTATTGTTATACGTAACTAAATTACTTAAAAACATAATCAAAGATTACATTATCTCATATGTATCTTTGAAATTCTCTTTTAAAAATTCTTCTTAATACTATAATTAAGTTTTTTTTAAAAATAATTTTACAATTGAAAATTCTTTAGTAGGTACTTGATTATATTAAACAAAATTTGCAGGCATACTTTGTTAAACAATTTTAAAATGATAATTATTGTTTTTGCAGGAATGTAAAGTAATGTTAGCACAATTACGCACAAATGTTCTGACTGAAGAGATTTGTCGAGAAGTTTGTGCCGACTTTTTTACACCATTTTATGGAAACAAATTGTGGCCGTTATTTTGTTTGAGAAAAAAACCTTTTGATAAAGAATTTGGTGTTGATGATGAAAAAGTATGGATAAGGAAGCACAATATTGTCAATGTGGTTGGATGGATAAAACACCCAAAGTTTCGTTCTCCAAGCTATATAAAAAAACGTAAGATTTTATATTTTTGAGCATAAAGTGAATAGTAAAAAAATCTGGAAACTTAAACATAAAAATGTTTATAGGTATCTTAAAGAAACCCGAACCAAATATATCAGATGTGCCAAATGAAAAGAAACAATCAAACGAAGTGACTTCAACGTCATCCAATGTCTTAAACGGAAAAGCAGAATGCAGTAATAATACAAAAACTTTATCAGCTACTAAAATAGTGTGTGCTCCTTTGAAAATCGCTAATAAAAAGTTGGCTGGAGAAATACCACATATTAGTCGTACAATTATACAATCTCCGCACGGCCCTTTAAATATACTGTCGAGGCATTCGACTTATACGTCTTCTATGAAATCATTAAACATTTCTCAGATTAGGCATACGCCCATCACGAGGCCAGTAGGCTCTTTAAATATATCATCAAGGTATTCAACTAGTTCACCATCTAGAAAATATCCAAACATTTCTCATTCTAGCCATGTACTTGCTTCAAATACGACTCGATCAATAACCACAAACAAACTGATGCCAAATCGATCAATTGATAGGGCAAATAATCTCTTAGTTACTATTCCTACTATGACTGGAAATATGAAAGTACCTCGCATAATTTTAGATTAAATTTGAAAATTTACCATTTAACTGTTAACTGCAGTATATTATTTATATTTATATATATATTCAACAAAAATTATTTGCAATTAAATATCTTTGAAATTTTTGAAAAGTATTTAAAAGTGATACTGGAAGAAGAAAAAATGTATTATCTACACTGTGATGTATAAATATAAATTCAGTATATAGTTGTAAGTCGGAATATGTCGTTCTTTGTATAGCTATTAATCACAATGTGTATGACTTGGAAAGCTAAAAGAAACCTTTTGTCGACATTTTCTAAAATTAAGTAAGTGCTATTTTCTGAATCTCGATTAATTTTTTAGCAATTTGAGATATGGTACATATTTGTAGTAAAAAAAAAAAAAAATGACCAAGTTATTGCACTTTGGAGTTTGCAATTGATAGAAGTCACAAAATTGAAATTTCATACTAGCCACAAAAAACTTCATAGCTTTATAACTAGTTTTTGCAGTGATTTTAATTTCTTGTACTAAACATTTGTATTAAATATGAGTCTATCAAATTTAGTTTTCACATAGAATAAGTAACTAAGTATATAGTTATCAAATTTGACAAAAAGTCATTTTGTGACTTATGTCGTTTTTGAAACGACTGATTCAATTAATAGGTTTTTTCTCAAATTCAAATTAGCCAAACTTTCCCTTTTGATGCTTTCCGAATCACGTATATCACAATTTATTGTCATTGACTATTAAACTATGTAAAAATACACTGGAACTTTTCAACTAATTTCAACATTTTATTAGAATTTTTAAATTAATTGTGATACAGTTTTGCTATTCAATTTTTTACATAAGAATGTTATATTTCTATTAACGTTTCTATGGTTTTTTTCACATTTTATGTTACAAATTATTTTGCATTTTGGTCAATGATATAAAATTCCACCCCTGCCAACTGGGTATGTCCATGTCATCATCTGAAGTCCCATTGTGTTATATTTTTTTAAACAATATGAATAACATACATGTTTACTTATTTGAAATGGTGTTTTGGTAATAGAAACTCATACGTATGTATGTTTGTATTGGTTTAATATTAATATTATTTCCAAATAAAAACAGATTAGTCATTGTGTAAGCTAGGAATACAAATAAAATAACATAATAGATTTTTATATTATTATTGCATCAATATTAAGCGAAAATAATAGTATAATATCAGTATGAACTAATTTTTATCAAATATTTTCGGATTAATTTATTACAGATAATCTATTAAGTCAATATTTAGTGTGTTGAATAACTAAGTAAATTATATATATTTAGTTTAATTTAAAATTGAATATAAATCCAACTGCCGTACCTATGTATTTTACCTATACATAAATATTACTTATATTATATTTTTAACTATAATGATTTGTTGTTGAAGTAAAAGTTGTGTTATTAGAAAAAGCTTAAAATATTTCAATTTCTGTTCATATTATTATATAATTAGCTTAGTAAAATAATATAGAAATATTGTTTCTGTGTGAATCAAAACTTTTACTTGCTACTACTACCATTTTAAGTAAAAAACTGTATGTTATTAGCAGCTTTTTCTCCCGCCCACTGTATTTAAGTAGGTGTAAGCTAAACATTAATTTTAAAACGCAGGTATATTAAATGTATAAGTATTTATAGAGTCTTATTTAACTCTTCTTTAAGTTTATTCATCTTTATCCTTTTAGGTTTATTTACTTTAATCGTATTGTGTACATTTAAAATGGTTTAACATAAAAATATGTGATTATTGAAAACCCATATGTGTGATAATATTATATTGTTTAAATTTGTGATATTTTTTTTTCTTATATTTTAATGTTTTTGTTTTATTTTCATTACATTATGACTTATTTAAATTATCTTTAGTTCCTCGTATTATTTTTTTGTAAATTTGGTAATACATTTGTAAGCTACCTATATGTACTTATGTTATTTTGAACAAAATTAATGCTTCGTAGAACATACATGTATACATTTCTTTGTGAGAGTGAAACAAAAAAAATCTATTACTTAAAACGTCATCTTTCTTTTTCTGTGCTCGAATTTCTGTATATTATCTCTTATTGTTACCTACATGTTGACCATAATAATTTGTGCCAAAGAGTTGACAAGGGTCATATGGTAATTTAGTAATATTATACCCGTTGCCGGCTAAGGTACGGTATTTTTAGGTAATGTAGTTATATTATATAGTATATATCGGACATTAAATTTAGTTCTTTATGGTTTGGTTTGATCGTGCAACGTGCCTGTTAAATGGTAGAGAACCAATTGTGCGCTTGGAGAGCCAAATATGGTTAAATAGAGTAGAGAAATGTATGTATTTGAATAAGTATTATTCGTGAAAATTGCAGGACAGGGGGGTAAAATAATGTGTGATTGAATGAGCTGAAACACAAAACAACAATTTACTAGGATAGCTACCCTATCCTAGTAAATTGTTGGTAGAAAGGCAAAGTTCATAAAAAAAGAGAAAATAGCTTAATTGATAGTTATGAAAAGGAATGTACGGAGTAACTCGTAGATTAATAGACAAAATAAGCAACAAGTACGTAACAGAAAATTTGGGAGTCACGTCGCGTCGGTAGCAGGAAAAATGAGAGAAAACATAGACTGTAATAGTTCGTCTTTCGGATATGCTGAAACAAGGGAGAAAATCGTCGGAAGAGTAAACAATATAAGAAATGGAACGAAATTGATTAAACCAAAGAAGAAGTGGATAGTTGTGATAAATAAAAACGTATGCGGTATGAAGGTGAGTGGAGTGACGAAAGAAATTACGATACAGAGAGATGCGGAATTGGAGAAACGACCACATTTGTATATACAAGGTGATAAAACGAAAATTACCTATATAATGATCATTACAAAAGTGACTTCTCTAGATTTTATTGTGTATTTTATGTAGGTTTTGAAAATTCTTATTCCAACTTCGAAACGGTGTTTGGGAACCATTTTATTGCTCGGATATAATAATACCATAGTAATATAGTTTATACATATTATAAGGACTGGAGATGACCTTCCCGATACCTACTATGCCCCGAATCCCGATTCACTGTGGTGTCTATTTTATTTATCATTATTATTCATGCGGTGTTAGCTAAAATTAACTAGACATTATTATATTATACGCTTCCATTTAAAAATTAAAAAAAATAAATCAGAGACAAGATGTATGTCGGGTGTTTAATTACAATAAGTAACACGACCTTACATGATTGAAATTCTTCACTGTATACTATCTTCCGCCGGGTTTGTTGACTCTCAATGGATTTTCGGAATTCGATCGGACAGGATAAGGTATTATTATTTCTAACGTGGCGTTTTAAAATAGTCCTTCTGCTGACGTGTCGGTGAGCCCAGGTAATCGGAGGGGCGATCGGATAGCCGCACTCGTTGAATCCATGCCAAAAGACAATACGATTTTAATCAAAACCTCACGTATATCGGTCTACAGTCGATACGGATATAGCTCAAGCGTTATAGTGATCTGGCTGGTCACTATAGAACCGCCGCTCACGATGGACGCCGATTCGATGATCCGTCTCAACGGTCGCGTCGCCGAATATCTATCATCCACCGTTGTCGGTGCGATCGACGGCCGAGACAATGCCGGCTGGACGATATCCGCGGCCAACGGGACGACGGTAGCCGGTCGCGGACTCGTAGCCGTCCGGGATTACGCGCCGGGCGATGTGATATTCGCGGACGCGCCCCTACTTACGTCGCCCAGGGTTTTGTTGGCCGACGAAGACAAACGTCCCATGTGTGCGGTCTGTTACCGGGACGACGAACCGCTCCGGGGGTGTCCAGGCGGATGCGGATGGCCCGTGTGTGACGTCGTATGTGCCCGATCGGCCACACACACCAGGGAGTGCGAGTACATGCGCCGTCTCCGGCCCAAAGTGGTGCACCGAGACGACGCTGGCTGGACGGTGGGCCTGTACAACGCGATCGCCGCCGTCCGGGGTCTAGTAGCGCTCAAGAAAGGCCCGTTTGGGTTCTTCTTAAACGTGTTGCAAAAGAAATCTACGGACAAGCCGGTTTTAGAGGCGAGTTTTTGTTTTTTAATCATCAAAAGTTACTATTAATGACATCAGAAAACAACAATATTTGCATGATTACTTATCAACAATTAATACAGTAAATTATGGGTATCTAGTTAACCGGATGGCCGTCCGTCAGGGCATCGTCTTGAGAAGACGTTATACCCTCAATTTTCTAGCGTTAAACAGACGAGTTTTAAGTTCTGCGTAGGCAAACGCAGAAATGCGTTTTACTCGATCCGTGATTATTGTAGACCAAAAATTGCTTAAAAAAAAAAAAGACGACAATTGATAGGTTTATAGTACATACTTTGCTAATATGATATTTATAGTAAGTAGTAGGTCAGACTAACGCTGTAGAAAAAAAAAAGTATAATGCCACATGATCGACGTCGGTGGCTTGTAGAAGTCTGTCCGGTCCTAATAAACTGGGACCGGACCCGTAAAATGGTATTTTGTAACATGGACCGACCCGGCCCGGAGTAAATTTTATTATGAAATACGGACCCACTCGTCACGGATTAAACAAATTTTAAAAAAACCCAAACCAAGAAAAAATGTATAAAATATAAATTTACGAAATGCACATCTCACAAGATAAAATAAATAACAATACAATACATAATAAAAATTGAATACCCTATAATTGTTTTATTTTGTTTCGCTTATTTTCATGTTTGCTGCAAACATAATGAAAAAATTCGCGTTGACCACATTTATTAGTAAAGAAAGTAGATCAAACCGGTTTTGGTCGACAGGTCGACTGGTAAGTGTTTCGGATTCTTCACCGTCTACCTATCTGATTTTGATAACAATTTTTTGATGAACATTATTATTTATTATCTATTGTCACGCTATGCTTTATATGTTCGTGTTTCCATTGACTTAGACTAGCAATGTTGGATTTACTATGGATGACTAATGATTTACAATGTTAGACCACAGAATAAATTTAATTTACATTTATTCTGTGATTGGACTATGTATATGATTAATTAATGCTAGTATAATGTATACAGTACACCAGTGGCGAGGCATGGGTCTTTAGATCGGGGAGACATTGAAAATAAATGGTGTTACGTGACTTGACAGGGGGACTGCGCCCCCTTGGATCCCCTGTATATTTTATTTTATCTATACTGTAAAAAATAAATGTTCAAAAACTAATAAACTAAATGGCATAGGCATATTTGAAAACGTACAACACGACAATCGATACGACGTACATCGATAATGGATAACTGATACCGTCTACCAAAACAATAATAATATGAACGGCGGTCGGTGAGACATGTCTCATAGCGCAACGATAAACCCCCGCCGTTTTCCATTTCCCCCTGCATACCGCGCCCGGCAAAAGAGACAATTTTGAAATTGTCTCATTTATTTTTATACTAAATTTGGATAGACCCGGCGGCCGGCAGCGCGACCGCCCGCTGATCCGCGTCCACAACTACTCTATTCTAAGAATACTATTACAAAAAAATATACTTTTACATTAAAATTGGTTAAAACATTTTTATACACATAAAATAAAACCAAATTTTTGTCCGTATTATAAGTGGGTAGACATTGTCTCTTTGTCTCCTATGACGCTTCGCCACTGCAGTACACTTATACTACCTATATACTTCTATTATAAAAATATAATACTCTATTCAATATTATAATAAATAATTAAATGTTCTTTGTTTGTGACATTTCGTCCAACACATCTACGATAACAAGAAAAGTTTTATTTAACAAAAATATTATTTATTATATTTATAAAAAAATTATAATAATAAAAAACAATTAAATAATAATTTAAAAAACTAAATTTTCCTAGCTCAAATTTCACATCTACACCCTATCCTGGTTCTGATTTTACACAGGCCGTGACACCGTGTGGATAAATATTTTTTTATTTAATTTAATTTTTATTTTGAACTCGCAAAAAAATAAAAAAAGTGGCTACCGTAAAACGTTGACGGATTATTTTGTGCGTGAAACGTGTAACGCCATCTGTGGTTAAAGAATCACAACAATTTCTTGGCGCTCGCCTCATTGGAGTTATTCACAGAACGTCTGTCACCGGCTTCTCGCATGTGATCAAAGTCGCAGATTGGTTCGTTTATATACCGGTGCCACGTGTACGGCAAATGTACTTGCTTCGGCAGTACATATACTAAAATTGGAACGATACAGAGAAGATTAGCATGGCCCCTGCGCAAGGATGACACGCAAAATCGTGAAGCGTTCCACATTTTTTTGCAAATATTTCCAACGTTTATTCAAACCGTTTTTTAAACACATAATGTGTTACACATTATAATTATTTATTTTACCTTTTTTAAATTTATTTTTATTAAAAACAATACCAAAAAAAGTACTTACCTCGCAAATATTACACTGAACGTAGAATTGTTTTTATTTTTATTGTGAACCTTTATTGCACAATTCTCCACAATTGGAACAATTACAAATTTGGCGTTTTCCGCGAAACAAACTAAAAAAAAAAAATGTTTTAAGTAGTAAAGGACGGGACAATGGAAAGAGCGATTTTCAAATATATTTAAATGGGGTTAATTAAAATATTAAAATATATAATTTTTGGCAGTTTTTCTCAATTTTGAGGGGAAAGTGTTAAACTTTAAAAATGTATGATGTTTTTATTAAAGGGTTCATTTTATAATAAAAAAAAGTTTAAATTACGTATGAATAATAATTATAATTTTTACTTTTTAGCGCCGCCCTTTTCTCATTTTTGACCAGGTGAGGGGAGGGCACACATGTATTTCAATGTTCCGGTTTTTTGGCGACGCATTTAAATAATTGTATTGTTTTTATTTTAATTATTATTTATTTTTCACACAGTATCCTAATACACCCCCTCCTACTCCTAGTGTCACAGTAACCCTTTGGCGAGGGGAGGGGAAGGGGCGGACATTATATTACAATGTTTTCCGCTATTTTTTCTAATTTGCCTGGACTGTTATTGAAAATCAATTGTTAAAAATTGGATTACCTGTTTTTATTTCAGGTAATAATAATTGCGGTGTCACCGCCGTCGTTATTGCTGCTGCCGCACCACAACAGTCGGCAGGCCCAAATCCGGTTTTCAAATTAATAAAGAAATGTGATAAATTGGCCGCTAGATGCTTATGAAGTCAAAAAACATCCCTTTCCCTTTGCAGTTCGCACTTCCAATAGTACTCACTACTCAAACGCTATTTGTTCTAGAAAATCGTTTACAGTACCACATGAAAGATCAGAATTTCTTCTACGTTCCTATAGAGCGAGGGAGTTTTTTTTGATAACTTTATTGACATTAGTTCTATGGACGTTTGAAAAGTAAATAATTTTTTTAAATGTCTCTGTACGCACATAGACATTTGAAGCTTTCTGTTGGTGTCCTTAGATTTATTCTACGATTAATAGTTTTTGAGTACTATTGAAAGTCCGAAACGGTGTTTTAGTGCTAGAAATATTTGACTATAGCATCCTTTTAAGCCCTAAATTTTAAAATTACACATTAAAACGAAATAAAGAAAAACTGCCCACCCTTCTTCTATAGGCATAGGTTTATGATTTTTTTTTGGTTTGTCAACACATATTACTATGTGTAAAGAATATTCCATACAAACTTGGAATTAATTCGTCTATGCTTATAAACAATTTTAGAGCGCTCAGCGCCGGTAATTTTAAGTTGAAAAATATGTACATTGTTTGGCCGTTTTCCACGATTATGAAGGGGAAGGAATGAAATTTTTAAATGTTCGACCCGATAAAGTACCTTACAAGTACGATTTCTTTAGAGTTGCCACACGAAGACATCGGTACAATGGTTTAAAAGATATCGTGGGTCCAGACACAAATAAAATACATAGATAAAAAATAAAACAAACAATTTATAATAACAATACTTTCTCAGATCCGCGTCGAAAACTAAAAAAAATGGTATTTTCCGTTAAGGTGGAAGAACTAAAGAGAAACGTGAAATCGTGTTTGAACGAAGAAGACCAACTGATAATGGAGACCGCTTGTAAAATAATGGACGCCAACGCTTTTGAAGCTATTATTACCCGCAAGTACAGTCAGGTTAGTCTGAGAGGCCTGTACCCGGTGGCCGCTTTCATGAACCATTCTTGTGTACCTAACACCATGCACAATTTCAACGGGAAACTCGAAATGATCGTCAAGGCTTCGGTGCCGATTCGCAAAGGCCAAGAAATCACATCGTCGTACACTCACTTGATATGGTCGACTCCCATGCGACAACATCACTTGCTGATCTCTAAACAGTTTATCTGCACTTGCCGTAGATGCCGTGATCCTCAGGTAAAATACAAATTTAAGTAAATGTACTCGGTGGTAAAACTGTACAAGTAACAATGAACAAGATAGGTACACAATAGTAGAAGTGTGTTTAAGTTTAATACAAGAATGGGATAATGATTTTGAAACGCGGGTAAGAAGAAGATAAAATAAGTTAGATGAGTAGAGAGGCTGGACGCACGGATAGGTGTTTTGATTATTGATGTAATAATAAGAGTAGGTACCCTCTTATTTCTATTCTTCATTATGGTGTATCGTGGGAAAATCTTATAGGATTCGCACAGTGTTATTATTATTAATATAGTTGTAATTAGCGGATACCGTTATTGCGGTAGGCCGTAGGTTCAAGTTACTTTCATTAAAGTATGAGCTCTGTATGACAGTCGTGTTATTCGAATTGGGCCTAGACTACAATATGAACTGCGTACATTTTTATCTAATCTTATTTAAAAATCCACAACAAAAAAAATCATTTTTATGTAAATACGAGTATTTTGGCGACTGTGTTGTTACCGTCTTCAGCATTCTATTTACTACTTCTGGCGTAGGTACAGACCACGACGTGCTCCTTAGATTATGAATATGTATAGTAAATTGTAATATTGTAATTCTACGACAGGAATTCGGTACCGAACTGTCAGCGTTAAACTGTACGGTGATAAATTGTCAGGGACGCATCTTGCCGGTCAATCCGTTGGACAAAACAGCTGTATGGCTGTGTAAGGTGTGCGCCAAGCTTATATCACACACCGAAGTCGCCGTTTTACACAAGTCCGTGGGTTCGTTGATGAAAAAAATGCAATCTTTCCATCCCAAAATCGTCGAAGCCTTTCTGGAAAAGTACAAAATTAACACAAACAATCCGTTTGTGGTCGATTTCAGAATCAAGTTCATATGGACATCCGTCAACTCAGGTGATAACAATAAATGGTTGTACTAAATAATAATGAAAACAAAATTGTCCATTTAAAATAGGATAATTTGGCGATCTATCCGTGGCTGAGTGTGTGCAGTGTATAAAAACGTGAGGTATAAAAAAAATGCAGGTAAAATATCGATGGTATAACTATAATAGTACCACAGTACTCTTAAGATTGTTTCAGGCGCTGTTCAAAATAATTGAACGCTTTACTTTATTATTATTTTGGAACAAGTTACAAAGACCAAAAGAGTAGGTTTTTTTTATAATTCCAATCTTATTTCAGATATTCTTTAGTGGTCTAGTTATTTGTTAAATTACTTCCAAAGTTGTAAAAGTACTGTAACAGTAAAACGAGTTTAATGGTATTTTCAGCGTGTTCTGTACGTTTCAGATATTTAGTATAATTGCGTTCAAATAGCATTTTTTGTAATATAAATATTGTATATTTTTGCCTTATTTTAAACTAGTCTCAAAATAGTGTATAATTTGTATTTTTTTTTTAAACTCAAAAGAGAATTGTGTTTTTTATCGATTAAAAATGTTGGAGAATAAAAGGGTAACGGAAAATGCCAAACTGTATACAAATAAATACTAAAACAAGAAGTCACTTTCTAAAATGTCTACCGAGCCGATTTCAATTTTCTTTATGGGGGCTAAAAGGATGAATTTGTATTTCTGTTTTCAAAATTGTATTCTAAGCATTTATGTTTTTACTTTTTTATGGTTTTTTTTCTAAAAAATCTAAATAATTTTCGAAAAGCTAAAAAAAAATCGGCCTTTTCAGCTATTTCAAGTCATTCAATCATTAAACTTTCGCCATAACTCGGAGAAAAATAAGTTTAAAAGTTTTTGAACTATACAAACTTAATATTTTTTTTCATTAAAATTAGTTGGTATATTTAAAATTGTTATTAGATAAATTTTTGTCAAACATTGCCCATCATTTGCCCCTTAATAAATATCGCTTTTCGTTCCCCTTAAAGAAAAACCTGACGTGATCTGAGTCCATGTCCGAATTCTACTCTCCAAAGAGTGTCTTGTCTTATGGGGTTTGTTCTAAAAAAAAAAAGTTAAATTTTGTGGTACAGCGTATAATTATAAAATAAATTAAAATTAAAAGTACAAAACGTTTTAAAAATAATATTGTATTTTTAATTTGGCCAGAAAGAAAAGAGATAAAATCACATTTATTTGAAAAAAAACACATTACGATGACAACATATCAATTTAATAAAGGGTTAATTGAATTAACAATTATAGCTTTATTTATAACTATTTTATTTGTTATTATACCTAGGTCTGACACTCGAACAATTACAGTACAAGGAAAAATTGTGTACCGAAATATTGAATCTCATTCAGACGCTCGGGCTAGGAAAATGCCGTCTTTTTGGTATGCACTATAATTAATAATTAATAGATATTGTAAAATATATAGGTATACATTGTGTGTGCGTGTGTTCATGTATATATAATATCAATAATAGTTATTTTTTTATGTACAAAATATTAATGACTCCAAAGAGAGATAGATATGTATGTGACGTGTAGGTAATCATGTGAACATTTTTAAACGCATTTTTATTTGTTTGCACCCATCACAGTGGTTAATAATGATTTATGGAATAAATACATTTGTATGCAATATTAGGGGTCGTAATTATTATATCTAATAATACATTGTTCGTACTTATACCGCAGGATTAATTAACAAAGAGCTGCAGTTGGTGTTGAAAGAAAGTTACCATCGATTCGATTGGGATAAAACGACCAAACGGGTGAGTCAGTAGTCTAAAGAAATGTCAATAGCTTATTGTTATTATACGTATTAAATATTATTATTAATAATTATAGTACACGTTCCGCGTTAATTATGGTATTGTAATTAGGTAATGCAAGACCAGATTGAAAATTTGGAAGTAGTATTCACAACAGTTTTGGACCAAAACACTAGTTCCACGGGCCATGAGGAGTAGCCGCTCATTGTAATTAATATTAATAATCATAATCAAATAATTATTTTAAATAATAATTTAAATAACTATAATTTGATCAGCTGTGAAACGTATATGAAGTATTCTGCGTTAGAATAAGTGAAAAAAAAAATAAACTCTTTGTCTCCCTTTCAAATGGAATATGCTTACTTACAATACTTACTTACCTGAATACGAATTCGGAACTCTATAGTTTTGTTGAAGACGTTGAATATTGTCAAGTAAAATAATTGTTATGGAAAAAAACAAATCAATTTTATAAAAAGTAAATGATTTTAAATAATAGCAATTGGTTATTTATACTAATAAAATAAGTTCAATAGATATTTTAATATTTAATTATGTATTTATATTGTTTTTCTACCAATCTGTATTTGAGGCGGGTAACTGGTAAGTTATTGTTGCTGGCGGAGTCAATTTTAAGGACATCAAGAGACTGACAAGTGTTTCAGTCATTTTTCAAGGATGGGCCTCCTCGTTCTTAAAAAGTTTTTCAGCCGAGTCTGCAACCACGATAGAGCATTTTCATGTCTCGTTGAAGTACCGAATAAATAAAGATTAGTTGTGGAATTATAATTAAAAAAAAAAATACATGGAGCTTCCAGTTACAGCATAACTCAAGGAAATTAAAAAATTATGTACAATCATGTTTCTGGCTAAAATTGTAGTGTTTATTATCTGGCCAAAAGTAACTTAACATAGTTTAATAATAGAGAATTAAACTATTTTGAATTTATTATTTAGTTCTAATTTGAACGTACAACATATCTCTTATCTCATATCAGATAACAGCGTAACAGATTAACATTCGAAATGGATCCGAAATGGTCTCTCCGATAATTGTCTTTCGTCGTCGCTTCGTACAAAAATCAAACAAAACTAATGATTTTTGTTACCTTGCGGCGCGTAACAACGTAACGCTTTTTTTGGTAACACTTTTTTTCGGTTATGTACCGGCTAATGCTCACCCCTATCTCCTACCCCTATTCTGTTTCTACGCTTTTTAAAATTTTCATGTCTTAGCTCTGGCACATAACCTTGGCAAATATCCGAAAAAAGCGTTACCAAAAGAGCGTAACGAAAAAAGCGAAAGGGTTGGGGACGGGAGAAAGGGGTGGAATAGGGGGTAGGAGATAAGGGTGAGATTTAGCCGGTAAATAACCGAAAAAAGTGTTACCAAAAAAGCGTTACGCTGTTACGCGCCGCAATGTAACAAAAACTACGAAGCGACGACGAAAGACAATTATCGGAATGACCATTTCGGATCTATTTCGAATGTTATTCTGTTACGCTGTTATCTGATTTGAGATAAGAGATATGTTCAAATTAGAATTAAATAATAAATTCAAAACAGTTTAAGGGCCCAATTTCTCTATGAATTATTTTAAGCCAGATAATAAACACTACAATTTTAGCCAGAAACTTGACGTTTTATTTTTATACTAGCTTGTTACCGCTCGTCAATATTCTATATCATTATCTATAATTCCACCACTACTCTAAATTTATTCGGTACTTCAACAAGACATGAAAATGATCTTTTGTGGTTGCAGACTCGTCTGAAAAACTTTTTGATATTTTGTGGTATTTACTTTAGGAATTATGAAGTGTTCAGATCGAGTATTATAGTTATGTTCGACTGGTTATAATACATTTTTTCTTGTTATATAATACAATGTTTTTTTTAAGATATAGTTGTTGAACTGTTAAAATTAACGTTTCTTTGTACAGCTGTATAATTGGAGTTAATCTAGGTTTATTATATATGATTTTTAGAATTGTGTTCTACAATTCCGTATTCTATTAGAGACTGAGTGAGTGCATAATAAGTATTTTTTAGCCAATGTATATTTAAAAATTGTTTAGCCATATTGTAAAAGGTATATAGTTTACGTAATTTTAGAGCTAAATGAGAGATATGGAAATTCCAACGTAAATGTTGGTCAAATAATACCCCTAAATATTTAGTGGATGATTCTCTTTTTATTAGTGAACAATTACAATGAGTTGTAGATTGGCAATTTGTGTTATGGGCTACTAGGTTCTTAATATCTGGAGTTTAATTAATTGAGTTTGAGAATGTTAAGAAGACTGTTTTGTTTTTGTTCAATGTTAGATTATTCAAAGAGAACCATTCAATAACTTTCTTTAGAGACACTTCTGCTTTTTGTATTGTTATGTCCCAAGTTTCTACAGTTGTGATCAATGCCGTATCATCTGCATAAGAATATAAGTTACCATTTATATTTAACTTACCTAGTTCAGAGACATATATGATGTATAATAAAGGGGACAACACTGTACCTTGAGGTACGCCCTGTGTCATTAATTTACTATTACTAAACGTGTCACCAATTTTAACCTTATGTACTCTATTTTCTAGATAGGATTTAAATAATGCTAATGGTTTACCTATAATGCCCATTTCCTTAAGATACTTCACTAATTTAGGATGCGACACTGAATCAAAAGCTTTGCTTAAGTCCATGAATATTCCAATTGATTTTTGATGACTATCCATTGCCTGGACGATATTATTGGAAAGACTCGCAATTGCATCCTCAGTACTCAGACCAGATGTGAAACCGAACTGAGTAGGAGGAAGCAATTGATTTTCTTCAAGATAATTTGAGAGCTATATTTTGATTACTCTCTCGAAAAATTTTGAAAAAGTCGTTAATAGACTTATGGGTCTATAATTTTCTACATTATTTTTATTTCCTTTTTTATAGATTGGATTTATTATTAAAAGTTTGAAACTATTAGGTATTTCACAAGTGTCTATAATACTATTAATAATATGTACTAGAGGGTTGAGTGCAGTTTCATCAAATAGTTTAATAATCTCCGTGGTTATTTCATCATGCCCAGGTGCCGTACCTCCTTTTAGGGAACATATTATACTTTGAAGTTCTTTTATACTAGTTTTTCTTAAGAATAATGACTGTTTAACTTTTAATATATTATCTGCTATATTGTTTTCTGTATTGTTTGGGGTACTTGTTGTTTCCGAAAAATACTTATTAAAGTGTTCTGCTATTTTAATTGAGTGTTCTGTATCTGAATAGATTTTATCTTCTATTTGTATTTGAAAATTGGTAGATTTTTTGTTTTGGACCTTGGGTTGCTTCATTAATAGTGCTCCATATACGTTTGGGGTCATTATTGCACTGTTTTACTTTATTGCTATTGTAAAGGTTTTTGGCGTTAATAAGAATATTGTTTAAATTATTTCTATACTTTTTGAAATTTTCTTTTAGTGTTAAATCATATGGGTTTTTTCTAGATTTTAAATGTAACGTATCTCTAATCTTTATACTATTTAATATGTCTTTTGTGATCCACGGTTTTTAGGCTCATTGTGCTTAAAATTAATTTTATTGGTTGATTGTTGAATGAGATATTTTATTTTTTTAGTATATAATTCTATTTTATTATTATTCGACTTAGAAGAATATATGCTTTCCCAATTTTGATTTTTTATTAACAATTTAAACTTAATTGTATTAAAAAATTGATAAGATTTGGGTTTATTATTGTTATGTTTCACTGATTCATTAATACAATTTATATTCATAAAGATAGGGTAATGATCAGTGATCGTTGACTCAAGAATAAGTGCCTTATCAATGTTGTATTTATTTGTTTTTTTCACAAATATATGGTCAATGCATGATTCTCCATCATCCCAAACACGTGTGGGAGAGTTTATGTAAGAAATAAAACCAAAATTGGCCATTAAGCTAACAGATCTTGAAGTTGTTCTAAAAATAGAATACTGTTACCATTAGGAGATCTGTACATGGATATTATACAGTAATTTTAATTATTAAAAGATAAGTGTGTGACTAGACAATTAGCATCAGTGAAAATATGTTCTACATAAGATGCTGTGCAGTCGTCTCTAACAAATACAACTATTCCATCACTCTTTTTATTATTATTAATTGTGTACATTAGACTGTAATTATTTAGGAATATGTATTTTAGGTCTATTTGAGTGCCTAACCATACTTCAGATGATGTAATAAAATGAGTATGAATTAACATATTGTTAATTTCTGCAAGTAAACACTGGAGATCTAATATATGTTTATTTATACTCCTAATATTCATGTGTATGAAATTGAAGTTATTACTACTATGGTCTTTTAATATGTTATTTAATTGATGTACTTGTAATTTATCATTCTGAAATTGGTTTGTTAGAAAATTATTCAATAGAATATTATCATTTACCATAGTGTTAAGTTATTTGGTTATTATATTCGAGTTCAATTAATTTAGATTTGATTGTATAAACAATTGCTTTGATTAAGTAATGATACATATTTATTATCATTTGAACATATCTACTGTTATTAAGACCATCGTGACTTATGCTATAATTATTATAGTTAGATATCTGGATTTATATAGTGTAGTAAGCGGCATCATTAATAGAGAACATAATTAATATAATACAGACCTCGAACAATAGTTTATAAGATAATAATTCAAATGTGATTATTATAAGATTGGTATTAGTGCATTTTAATGAGGTGTTTGTAATATTTCGTGCATTAGTATTTGGAAAAGATAAGGAATGTAAATCGAACGGTCTTGTGTATAGTATGTTGTGGGTACAGATAATATTTTGCTTAAAAATAGAGGAGTGTATGATAAAAATTTCTATAAAAACAAGTAAGCTAATGATTATTAGGTTAGGAAAATGAAACATTGTGATGAATAAACTAATATTTTCAATAATTCCACAACTAATCTAAATTTATTCGGTACTTCAATAAGACATGAAAATGTTCTATCGTGGTTGCAGACTCGGCTGAAAATGGCTGATTTTTTCGTTACGCTTTTGTACGAACGCTTTTTTCGGTTATGTGCCAGAGCTAAGACATGAAAATGTCAAAAAGATTTTCGGCCTTTGCTGCTTTTATTTAAAAAATAAAACATCCTCAACATGATTACTTCCTTATCCGCTCAGCGCTCAATATGCCTACTTAAGCTTCCCGTCGTGTCAAGGCTGACATCTCTTTCATTTCCTCTCCCTCAACGGCTCTCTCGATGCCCCCGATTTGCTTCTCTTCTATCTCTTTCCGTGTTCCATCCCACTCTACTAGAAACTATCCCCTATTCCAACTTGCCCTCCACCATACTTCCTATGGGTACCGTTTTCGAGCTGGGAGGCCAAGGCTAAAGCATGTTCATGCTAAAAAAATACTATTTCATCCAACAATATATTTTACTTTTTTAAGTGTTTTTAGTTTCGAAATGTTGGCATAGTCCATAGTTGGGTTAAATTATAAATTAAATTTCAATTGTAATTCTCTAATGTAAACATTAGTTACATTTATTACATGGGTGATTGTAAAACCTATAACTAAGGAGAACTCAACGTCGAAGTAATGTATGTACTCCTTAAATCATAAAAAAAAAGGAACCAGCTATGTAAATAAATGAACATAGCAACACTGCAAATATCTATTAGATTTTGATTTTTCGGTCGAAGTATAAGCCTATCCATAAATCGCAAGAAGAACATTTAGTTTCAAAAGCTGATCAAGTCGATTATTGTCTAAGAAACTTTATCAGCTCAACAATTTTAGTAAGTATTTTTCTCAAACACTAACAATTGCAATTGCCTTAAAACTAAAAAGACATGAGCTTAATGAGCCAAAAGTTATAGTGTGAAAAAGACAGTATTAAATATTTATAATTACTAGTTCTTTTTTTATCGGGTCTTAACAGAGTCCTTTAGCAACGTTTTTCTTATATATCCTTAAATATTATCCTCTACATCTATCTCCATTTGTATCCATTTCTTCGTCATTATTTATATATAGTAAGTTAAGTGGTCTTCTTTCTTTTCTTGGATTTCTTTGTTCAATTGTTCCTGGGTCCAGCTTAATTATTTTCCTGCTCAGATAAAGCCGAACGACTTAAAAAAAAACCAACAGTAAAATAATTAAAAAGGACTTTTTCACGATTAAACTTAACTATGACCTTAGGGGTACATTCAGTATGAATAAAATTTTATAAAATAAAACTGTTCACTAGTTGTATCGCCGTGTTCAGAAAGAGAAAATGCCCAATTTTTTGGCAAAATTAAGTGGCCACGCGGTTTTATACTTACACCAAAAGACAAGTTAAGTGTTAAAACATGTTAAGGTGACATGTCCTGTAATTTGCATATGGTTAGTATGGCAGCAGCATATATGATTTAAAATGCTTGTATCATTGTAATTTTACATCATCCCTTAGACGTAAGAAGACTATCAACTTTGCTTTTTCAAGTGCAAACGCATATTTTTAAGTCGATAACATAGTAGAAAACAATTTAATTTTTAATTTTCAATAATCGCTTCGTCACTTGCGACTTTGTAAAGATTTAAATTTAAGATCAATATTCTCGTTCGGGTTTTAAAGATAGTAGCTCAGCGAGTTCCTATTAAAAAATAATATTGACCAGCGATTCTCTACCTACCCGTTTTTTTTTATTGATTATCTATTTACCAAAATTAATATCGACAACTTAAGTGATGTGATTTTGTTTTTTCTACAGAACTACTTTAACTCTAACATTTCATAATATCAAAAACATTGTCGATCTAAAAATCCTTTTCAATCTTCGTGATGTTTTCTTTATAAACAAATCTCGTGTTGTTTATTTGTTAAATTTCACCAAATAATCAATATGATTTTTAACAATAAAAATATGTACAATTATTATTTAATTAATGTTAAGAGTTTAGACAGTTGCACTACTCGTTTTTTACCCGTTATTTAACAACAATTTATTTTTTAAATATTTAACTAATAATAATACTTAATAAAAGTAAACGAAAAAATATTAAAAAATCCCTCAATACATTTTTTCTTTAGTAAAACTCAAGAATTGCTCAAGTCCTAATGTATCAAAATAAAAAAGTAGACTCGATACATACAGCAAGATGAATCGACATAAAATAAGATGTACTTTTAGATCAATACAATATTAATATTTTCACCGCGATAGTAACTTATATTTATGGCAATCATTTGCTTACCAAAAGCATCTCTGGTTTAAATCAATATGTAAGAACAAAGATTTTTTAGTACTTAGTCTTAACCTTGTCTATTAAGGGGACACCAGGCCATACCAAGGAGTTAAGTATAGGCAATTTTTCGAAAAATCTTAAATTAGAGTTTGAACTATAATGTATACTTACTTATTAATACAGTAATATACCAAGTCAATTCTATAGGATAAATTACAATTTTGACAGTAAATACACCAAATTTTCACAATGTATAGAACTTTATCCATGGGGAAGCTTTATAATTTTTTTTGATATTTCTACTCAATTAAAAAAAACAAATTAACTAATAATAAAAGGAAAAAATAATGAATAATTTTGATTGTTTTAAAGTCATCAAAAAATTTAAAACGCTACCTCTATAGATTAAGTTCTTTTATATCCATTGTAAAAATTGTATACAGCTACTCTAAATACCACCCTCAAATTCTTTTTTCCCGCAAAACCATTTTACGTGGATAAATTACAGGTGGGTAGCGTCCTTTTAATACAAAACTATTTCGACTGCATATATAAACTATACAATAAAATACTCAGTTATTATTCAGTTTCTGTTTCTTTAATTAAATTATAATTAGTAAAAAAATGTGTATAAAAATTAAATCTTTCAAATACAATATTTGCTTGAAATAAAACAAACTTCTAGTTGTTATAAATTTTTTTTCAAGTATGATGAAGCAAATATTGAGTTGAAATTAGGGAAGATTAAGTGACTTAATATTCTTCACCACCTTCACCTTCGCCTTCTACGGAGTCCATACCAACTTCTTCGTAGTCCTTTTCCAAAGCAGCCAAATCTTCACGAGCTTCGGAGAATTCACCTTCTTCCATACCTTCTCCAACGTACCAGTGGACGAAAGCGCGTTTGGCGTACATCAAGTCGAACTTGTGGTCCAACCTGGCCCAAGCTTCGGCAATAGCTGTGGTGTTGGACAACATGCATACGGCACGCTGCACCTTGGCCAAGTCACCACCAGGGACAACAGTGGGAGGCTGGTAGTTGATTCCGACTTTGAAACCAGTTGGACACCAGTCAACGAATTGGATTGTCCTCTTGGTCTTGATTGAAGCAATCGCAGCATTGACATCCTTGGGTACAACATCACCACGGTATAACATGCAACACGCCATGTACTTGCCATGACGCGGGTCACATTTCACCATTTGGTTAGCTGGTTCGAAGCAAGCGTTTGTGATTTCGGACACCGATAATTGTTCATGGTATGCTTTTTCAGCAGAGATGACTGGTGCGTATGTCACCAAGGGGAAATGGATACGTGGGTATGGTACCAAATTGGTCTGGAACTCGGTCAAGTCAACATTAAGGGCACCATCGAAACGCAGAGAAGCCGTAATGGAGGACACAATTTGACCAATGAGACGGTTCAAGTTGGTGTAAGTTGGACGTTCAATGTCAAGATTACGACGACAAATATCATAGATTGCTTCGTTGTCGACCATGAAAGCACAGTCACTGTGTTCGAGAGTTGTGTGTGTGGTCAAAATTGAGTTGTAAGGCTCGACAACAGCTGTGGACACTTGAGGTGCAGGGTAGATGGCGAATTCCAATTTACTCTTCTTTCCGTAGTCGACGCTCAATCTTTCCATCAACAATGATGTGAATCCAGATCCAGTACCGCCTCCGAAAGAGTGGAAGATCAAGAAACCTTGAAGACCAGTACATTGGTCTGCTAATTTCCTGACTCTGTCCAAAACAACATCAACAATTTCTTTTCCGATAGTGTAATGTCCACGAGCGTAGTTGTTGGCGGCGTCCTCTTTGCCAGTTATCAATTGTTCGGGGTGGAACAATTGACGGTATGTTCCAGTTCTGACTTCATCTGTAATACAATTATTATTGTTAAATAACGATATAAAGTTTCAACGGCATGTAAATTTTAACTTACCAACGACAGTTGGCTCAAGATCAACAAATACAGCTCTGGGCACGTGTTTGCCTGATCCAGTCTCGCTGAAGAAAGTGTTGAAGCTGTCATCTCCACTACCAATGGTTTTATCAGAAGGCATTTGACCATCAGGAGCAATTCCATGTTCTAAACAGTACAATTCCCAGCAGGCATTACCTATCTGGACTCCAGCTTGACCAACGTGTACGGATATACACTCACGCTAAACACAAAAATACAAGCGATGATTAATATTTGGTAAAAATAATTAGGTAATATCAAGTCAATTGGAAAATATCCAAAAAAAAAAAAAAAAGTAGATGCTTACAAATCTTCAAGTCTCAAATTGTATTATTAGTTCCCATTTAATTTTCAAAATATTGTATAAACATGCCATAAAATAAAACTTTATAGTTTAAATTAATAATTATTTTATCTTTTATTTTAAAATAACTTCATTAATTTAATAAAAAAAAAACAATTTTTAGTAGTATGCAAGTAATTGATCATAATTTTAAAAAAAACATACAATTCAAATGAACAAGTTAGTTATTAAAAAATGTTTACTTTAATATTTCAGTTAACCTTCAACATGAGTGTGGCAAGTTTATTTTAACAAAGATAAGTAGTATATTAATATTTTTAACTATTATTTTATTAATAAACAAGTACCCCAACTATTTTATTAGAAATTGTAGCGTAAGTACTCCTACTAATTATTAAAAGGGGTGGTTTTTTTCAGAGTAGAAACATCACCCTACTTTTATTTTTCCAATTAGAGCACTAGTTCTCGGTGACAAAAACTTTTGTTTCAACTTGATCGGTTTAACGTTCAACTTGATTTTATTTTTCTTTAAAAGCAGAATACAATTAGTTATACCTATCGGTATAAGTTCCGATAGGTAGGTAGTTTACGTTTTTTTTTTTAATAGGTATTATTAAAAAGTTTTTTTAATTGCTAGTACTTTTAATGCTGATTACGAATCTACAAAAATTTTGGCCAGACGCACTTAGTTTGAAAGTTATACAAATTTGAAGCTCGCGCTTTATATCTATACATTATTATTTCTAGTTGTGTATAAATATATTATAAAATGCTAAATAGAGCTTTAGAAAGTGGTCTTAACTTTAAGGTTTACATTGAAAGTGACCCTTCTGCTTTTATCTATTCTGTGGTTATACCTTTTAAAATGGGTGAAACACAATTGCGAACGGTCGTTATCGGCAGTACCTTTTTCGATGACAACTGCGAACGTTTTTACCTTTATCTCTAATGCAACGTTGATGTATCGATGACTACACAACAATAATGTTATAATAACGAAAGTAAACATAAATATTTTTCAATATAATTTTTTCGCTATCAACGGTAAAATAACCGAATCTTACTTTATGTGTACAAACTTTCATTAGTCAGTGTTTACCACGATTAATAATCGGTTGTATGTATAATTGTTATTTTAAAATTTATTTTATACTATTATTATAATTATTTAAAATTCCCAACACTATAGTACTTTAAATTGTGAAGAAATAAACAACAAATTAAAAAAAAGGTTAGTGAAGATGATACTGTAGATACAAATTTATTAACTGAAGTAAAAAATTAAAATACTAAAATATATAATTATTATTTCAAAAAGATTAGGGGGTAAAAAAATAGTTAATAATAATTCGTCAATCATATAAATTAATAGGTATAATTACATTATATGCATTTAAATTGTTTTAACTGTGCGCATTGCTCAACCTCACTTCCCCTCCTAAAAACTGGTTAACCTAGTGAGATATTGTGTCGACTGTCTATCAATTAAAAAAATTACCCTGTATTTATTTACAACTTTTGGTGTATTTTGACCGAAAAAGTACCTATAATTTTCGTTATTACAATTTGACGTCGCACGATTTTTGGGTATAAAATAGTTTTTTTTATCTACCGACAATCATTCGCAATCGTTTTGCCAAAAAAGTAAAACGTTCGCAATCTTGTACCACCGTTTAAAATATAATACCATATAAGGCTTCCTATGACATCTTGCCCCCACCATGCCACGCCCTTTGTGAGTCGTCATGTTCTTTTGGTACTTACTTGATAATAATATTTATAGTCTTTTTAAACTGTAACTTAATTGTCTAATAACTTTCAAAACTAATATTGTTGAGTTTATGACTTTTATATGTAAAGAATAATATTTTAAGATTTCGCCGTGTCTTCCATTACGCGACATCTTTAAACGTATGTAGCTACCAACTCAAGCGAGAGCAACGAAATTCTTTCAGATTCGTAATCGGCATTAAAAAAAAAGGTGCCGGGTAATGTAGATTTGTTCCACAAATAGTATGAAATACTAAAACGAGTAGTTTGCAAAAAATATAAAATAAGAGACGCTCTAACATTTTTATTTCGATGTTATTCTAAAAATTCCAACAGTCATACGAGTTCAAATTTGTAAAATATCAAATACCTAACAAACGTAAGAAATTGAACCGTTAATAATTAATATTATTATAGAGAATTAATATTAATTAGTTTATCCAAGCCGTCAAAATTGACGCGTCATCATATTAACGGTTTTTACGCCCCACCCAAGCCACTGAATTCTGTACCGAACATCGTGGTTGTACCTAGCAGAATATTGAAAATTGTTTAAGGTAAAATCGAGACTAAAATAAAACAGGACGATTGGCTTTTATATAAAAACATCTATTACTTACCATTTTGAATAGTTTTGTCGTTTAACGAGAGGAACAAATTGAAATAGTCAAAAAGTTTTTGAGAAGTTTTAAGGAACGTTATGGTTCAAACGAGAAGCGATCAAAGCGGCTTCTCTCACGTCCAAACACAAATTGATGGCTGACGCATCCAATTCCATTCACCATTGGGCTGGGCAGCAACCGTGTTGTATGCTCTAGACCGGGTCTATAGCCCGACGTAACGCTGTTCGGCCGAAGCTGAACATTGCAGGCGGTAGCGGTGGGCGGTGGCCGGTGCCTACGCGGCACCAGCCGCCACGACAACATCCGTAGTGAGTCATCTGCGTATGCCGAAGCGGCGGGGAGTGGGGACACGCAACGCCACTCACCCGCCGACCTTTGATGTCCTAGCTAAAAGTCCGTTAAAATTTTAAATTACAAATCTGAAATCTTTTATCTTATCGACGGTTATTCAAATGTTTCCGTTGCTGCTACCTAATTAATTTAAGTAATATTTATATTATACGATTATAATACGATTCATTAATATTAAATATGTATAATATCATAGCATAAAACCTTAGAAGATTAAAATTATATGAAAATAAGCTTAATTATAGTTAATTAAAAAAAAAAATAGGTGCAGCAACGGTACACATAACAGTCGACAGTTGTTACAGATGTTTTTCTTGCAAAAACATAGGTTAGCATTCTATACACATGACACATCGCTTGTCATATTTATCATATTGAAATGGTTTTGACATTAATAAAAAAATTAAGTTAAAAAAAATAATTTGTTAAACCTCAAATGATGACTACAAAAAATTTTTTTCTTTGTCTTGTTGAAAAAGTTGTAATGGAAAAGCTAGTCTGTTTTTTGAGAAAAAAAATAATGGAGCTTGCAATAATTTAATGATAAAAAAAAATAAAGAATTCTATTAGATTACTATACTATTAAATAATATAGGTACATTATTGTTTTAAGTAAAAAATAATTTTTTATGAACAATGCCTCAGGGACGACATTTTAGTTTTTTCTTAAGGTGGGGCAAAATTGTTATCGGCCCAATGTCATTTATACATATAAATATTTTTTCCAAAACGCAAAATAGTAATAACACAAATATTATAAACCTTCATACCTATTATACTTGGTAGTCAGTTCAGACGGTTCATCATTAGTAAAGGTAGTTGCGTAAAAAAAACAGATAATTTTCGGTATTACGTTCCGAAAATTTGACCAGCCCATAAAAATCAAGAGAGGTGCCATGCCCCCGCCTTCCCCCCCCCAAATGACGCCACTGCCCACTGCAATGCCTATTCGTAACCCCTTAAGTGGTATGTCATGACTCATATGATAAAAACCATTATACAATAGAAATGATTTTGTGTTTAAATAGTATACTATTACTATTTTTGGCTTTTTAACAACAAACAAAAGTTTACTAACAAGTAAAAACACACTAAAACAACAACCTACATTTAGTTTATTGTCAGACCTGAAATCTAACAACTACAAAAAGAAAAAAAAGAAAGTTTCTAAATAAAGTAAAATAAAGTTTTTAATACATTTTTCTATTAGATAAAGAAAAAGTTGTTTTCTTATTTTTATTTCTGCTGTTTATGGGTCCAACATAATTGGAACTATTCTAACAATTTCTAAGAAAAATCGTAGCATGTCATACTTTAAATTTCAACGATTTTGAACTTGTTGATAAACTTGTGCAAGCTTTTGATCTTTGACGTTTGAAGTGCCTTTGGTGTACAATTCCTAATGTTTAGAGTATATGTATGAATAGTCCAGTACAAGTATTGAAAAGTTATTGTTGGTCCTAACTTAAAAAAATAAAACACTTCATTATAAAACCAATTGTTTTTTTTTATTAATTATGACGTCAAACCTAACCTAGCCGGGAAGGTGTTTCTAAATCGTTTAACCACTATTCTAGTATAAAAGAGAACAACAAGTATAATGATTAATGCTATGATAATGTAATATGATAATATAACGATACTTTCAATATTATTAATAAATAATAATAATAAGAATTGACAGTAATTAAGACGTTGTACGTCTAGTATACATGTCTAAAAGCTTTCATACAAACCAATAACGAACACTGACATCGTTATGAAAAAAATAGCTAAACAAAAAAATACACAATTATATAATATATTACATTGGAGTTCATAGAATTTTAAGTTTTACTTTTAACTGTGGTGTTCGCCAACGGGTTAATGCGTGTCGTCTGGAAACATTTGGAACGCATCCTACACACACTAATAAGGTATAAGTGCGTTGGCAAATGCTGGATGATATTTTAAAAATAGACAGGTACTTACACAAATGTACAATGGTATTTAAGAGAAAGTATTCTTTAACCTTATAGTTTACAGCGCGTAAGTATTGTAAACATTTTTATTGTGGATAATTTTGTCATTTTTATAGGTAACCGCAAATCGGGGCGCTAAGTCTCCAGTACAGTTGTAAATTGTACCCTAACTTAGTATTGACTAAATATGTCTATTCACCATTAGTAAATACTAATAAATCACTGTGTAAAATAATTTTATTTCAAAAAATGCCTAGCTGAGAAAGGCATTGGTCAAAATTTCAAAGTGAGAGTGAATCAACAACCAACTGGTGTCTGGAAATAGTTTTAGTATGTTCTTATTACGATACATGGAAAACTACGGCAACAAATTATTATAAACAGATGATTAATCCTAATCGTATCTACCCTAATACTGAAAATACATTTTTAAGCTTATTTTTATTAGGTACAATGATATTATGGATTTTGTATTAATTCTAGTTTTTACCATAACACTATAACAGATTTGCACCGAACCGTTTATTCAAAAGTGATTTTAACACTTTCAATTATGGTAATTCCTGTAGATCTGTGACCTCCCCCGACCCCCTAAGTGTTAAAAGAGTGAGAATAATTTGCAAAAATATAAATAATTCTGTCTTGCTAAGTACTTAGAATTGAAATAATTTAATCAAAAAGTCAAACGATCTGTCTGCAGCTTGCCTCTTAAAAATGTATTAGTTTTGTTAAAAAAAACTCATTTTAATAGAAAAAATACACATGGTTTTACTTTCAAAAGTCCGTGTTAGCTATTTGTTTTAATTTAAAACAAAAGAAGAAATAAAGAAGTTTGTCTCCAATGTTATTTAATTTCGATTATAAAATACGTTTTTTTGCTTTAAAAACCACTATAGACCGAGCAAAACGCTTGTTTAGATGAAAAAAAATGTTTATTCGCTAATTACCAGCTTTCAGTGGGGCTGAGTTTTATCGTGATACTCTATACAGATAGTTTATTACTTTTATTATAACTATAAATAATACGATTTCTGATTGATCGGCGTATACATTGTTTAATAATAATATTAATATTATGTTTGTTCCATTTTTTTTTTACATTGTCAGATACTCAACTGGAACAAATATGAAGACGTAAGAACTAAGAACCCATGAAGACTGAAGTTGTCTGTTGTGATAATTTTGGTTGGCTACACGCAAGGTTTATAGAATATAGATTATAATCTATAAACCTTGGGCTATACGGTCCTGAAGCGAACCGTGGATTGGCTGTAACACCCGGTTATAATTATAGGCGAATGTGTAGATGCGGTATTAGGTATATGGTTAATGTGAGTATTATCTATTGGTGTCATGATAAGGTTGTGGTAATGAGGAAGGGTTGATAATCCGATAGTATCATTTTTATAGTTATTGTATTTCAGATAGAAGAAAACGAAAAAACATAAATCGTTACGATCCGAGTAAAGTTTTTAAGCATTCGGTCAATTACTTAGGATTTTTTTATTTATCGTTGTTTCGATACTGATTTGCAACCAAGCGCATTACTTCGTTTTTGGAAATTCATCTGTTTCGTGTGGGCATCACGGCTGTTGTCTAGTATTGACATCTACTAGACACTAGTTTTGAACAATGGACGTATGCACTAATGGTGATTCGATGGCCGTTAGCGAAGATTTATCATGGGCCTTGCAAATCGGTGACCTGGATACGGTGAAGGAGCAAGTTCAAAGGCTTTGTAAAGAAAATGGGGTAATACAATATTCGTTTATTTCTTGTGAACAGTTTGTTCAATAAGAAATCATTAACTAAAGAATTATTTATCGATAAATGATTTTCATTCATTATTACGAATACTTAAATACGAATATATATATTGGCGTATGTGCTGTCTGCCGTTAATATTAAAGATGGCAACTTGATTGCCAAAATATGTATTCACATTAAAGTGAATATTTTTGTGATAATGTTTTTGTTAAATAAAAAATTAGTAAATTTCACAAGACAATTTAAATTTTATGATTTTCTTAAACTTTTTTTAACTGTACATTATACTGTTATAATTGAGATCCTAATTTAATAAATTAATATTTTTTTTTAAGAGTTGGAATATAAATAATTCTACCAACGGAAGAACAATGCTTCATAAAGCTTGTGATTATGGGCATTTAGATATTGTTGAGTATTTGATTCAAAATGGTGCTGATATTAATGTAAGTATATAAGTTGAATTTCTTTTTGTGTACATGTTTAAACTAGTTTTAAGATAGATTATGCCATAATAATTGTAATAATAGTAAAAAATTTTAAGTTAAATATTTTACTTTTCAACTACAATTTTCATTTTAATAATTACATCTAGCAAAGTTAAAAATAAATTAAGAACAAAATATTTGCGTAATTTATTATTTAGGTATTTCAATATTTTGTTTTATTTACAATTAAAAACTGATCGCTGGGTCGAGCGCACTGCCTGTCTTTAATGTAGTATTATGCCATATTTCCCTATGCAAAAGTCACATATTATGTTTAAAAAAAAAAGACAAAAATGGTTCTTTAAATGTCAGTGACTACTTTTTATTTTTAATAAATCTAGGTTTTATATATGAATTTATGAGGTTTAAAAACCCTCGTTAGATACTTATACATTTATCTCTTCTGTTGTAAGAAGTAGTTTAAAATAAGCGTGGAGACTTATTTCTGTGTTCTAAATTAATTGTCACACATTTTTGAGGGTCAGGATGTAATTTCAGCCTAAATAAACCAATATGACTACACCTATGTCTTTTCCTAAATGTTGCTTGTTTAAAATGTGTATTTATTAGATAAACGTAATACACCTGTGACCTACATATTATACTTATTTTGAATAAATTACTGACTAAAATTGTGCATACTAAACACTAAAACGGTTTTGCCATCATTGTAATTTGTGTTGGCCCTCATATGAGTGTCAAAAATATTGTTTTAGATATCTATAATTCTGTGTATATGAATTAGCACATGTAGAACTATGTTAATGGTCATACATATTTTTTGCGTCTCCCAAAATCGTGCAACTATGACTGTTGCCATTAGACATCTTCTATAAGTTATAACATGGTCTGGAAAAAATTTACTTTTTATTAATTTGCTTGATTTTTTTTTTAGAAAAAAGATAATTTTGGTATCACTCCGTTATTGTGTGCCTTATGGGAAAATCATTTGAAAGTGGCTAAATACTTGATCGATAAGGTAAGAATTTAATATTGACGAAACAAATACCAACTGTTAAGTTTTAAGTCGAGGTGTATCGTAAACATTTTTTAAATAACCTAACTTGAAAAAAATTTAAAAATTATTTTATTGATATTTTTTATTAGCATACTATCAAGTTAATATCAGTTTAATTAGTTTCAAATTTCAATAGACTAACTTATTAAAAATAATTTTTGTCCTGAAATATCAAGAGAGTGATTTTGAATCAATGAGAGGGGTCCAAAAAACACTTGAGCAACACTTGTGGTTATACATTGTAAAATAATTACATATTTAAATAAACTATCAATCACAAAAATAGTCCTTTATAGTGTATACGTATTTCGGCAGCAATGTTAGTTATTACCAAAATCAACACATACAACAACATACATATTCTGTTGTATGCACCGATGATGGTAACATTGCTGCCGAAATACGTATACGCTATAAAGGATTATTTTTGTGGTTGAGAGAAGGGGTCTGTTGGTCACATGGCAATCCCTCATTAGTTATTGTTGATTTACATAGCATTATATTTATACTACTGTGTCTTTGATGGTTTTTTTTCCTCAACACCCCCTCCCCCTCCTTGAATACTAGCTTATTCAAATAAGAAATTAAAAATTGTTTTATTAGTTTTAAGTATGAGTTTTTTAAATGAAAAATTAAAATTTCCACATTAATCAAGTGTGAAAACAAATTCCTGAGCAAGTACTTATAGTTGAGCTAGGGATCTAAAATTTTAGGGTCTTCTTATTTCAATTCAGTAAGTTTCGGATATATCCACGTCACATGTTTATGCCAACGTTTCGGACTCTTTGCAGAGTCCATCTTCAGGGCAATAGTGGTCACGACTGTTCAAATGCCATGACCATACTGACTTCTTATTTGTTTTTTTTTTGGGATATTTTTTTTAAAGACTACTATTGATTGATGAGGAGGAAAGAAAAAAAAAATTATCTTAGACACAGTCTAAAACTAACTTATGTACTCTTTTAAAATAAACCAAAAAAACATTTTACTAATTCACTGGCAAATCTTATTATAAATTGTTATTTTTAACACCATACTGATAATGTTTTTTTTTTAGGGAGCAACAACAACACTATTAACTCCAGAAGGTTTGAAATATTATGAATGTATCGAAGATTTGGAAATGATAAATTTATTAAAACAGCTAGAAACACAGTAGATTTTTGTAAGCATCGCTAATTATACTGCATTACTTATTCAACATTCTAATCTCTTTTAAAAATTGTTAGACACATAATAGAGATACATTTGTTATTTTGTATAGTGTCATACGTAAAGTGGGTATTGGATATCATATAGTCAATATGTTCATGGTTATGTTGTATATTATTTAAATAATTATTTATTGTTATTATCGTATAAATGTAAGGGAAGTGACAAAATTATTTGTATTGTATCATTGCCACATTAAATTATTAGATTTCTTATGTCATAACGTTTGTTTAATTAAATTATATATTTTTGTCGATATTTCTGTTGGATCATAGTTTGGGTGGTTTTGTTCATGAAAAATAATTCTAATAGAAATATAATGACAATAAATTTAGTAATATATTGTATCTATGAATTTAAACAATTTATAAACAAATAATATAAACTCTATACTGATATACCATATTATGCTCTTATATAGGTATAGGACATTATTTTGTATTAACATAGTGTAATGTTAATACTACATTTTCTCTGTGTAGTAGGTATTAAATGGATTTTACGTATCATAATTTTTGCATATATTATGTTAAAGTTTTTCATTGATATTTTTACTAAATTTTTGAACTTTTAAAGTGTTTAACTTCATGTTTTGTATTTATGGTTGTGTATCAGAGTAACATAAAAAATGTAATAACTATTTTCAATATTATTGTAATTTATAGTTTATACTGGATGTTAATATTATTTTTTACATACATTGGTTGTGATTAACTATTGATATTTAAACGACCACTTCTACTACTACTATTAAAGTATTATTTTTTTCTTCACTTTTATTAATTATTTATGAAATATTTGTACTGTATTGTTGCAAAAAATTATTTTAAAATAAATTTTCACTTTTAATAACATAATTTTATTTTTAATCGTAATATTTTAGTAGTATTGTAACCATTTTTGTTACAAAGTGTTTTTTTTTATAATACATTTTTTTTTAGAAAATATTAAAAAATTAACTACCTATATGTATTGTATTTTTTGATTATTTATAATTTAACCTATGTTTATAATAAAAACAGAATAAGTTTCAGATTTTATTACTTAAGTACATAACAATTATAGTCTATAATTAATGTATATATTGGGAGAGAACTTATTTAGGTAATTTTCGAATTTTAATGAATGCACTCTAAAGTAGTTAAAAGAAAATTAATAATCCCACATAATGAAAGTCTATATACACCGCGTGGTTATCAATCCAGAAAAAATAACATAATGTGGAAGAAAGGCTTGTGGCATATGTCAAAATGGAGACAAAGCTGAGTAGCTTCAAAAGTTTTTTTTTACATTTATAAACACTGAGCGATGCACTCATAAAATTCGAAAATCATCTAAATAAGAGCCACCATAATATATGTACATTTTTTATTATTATGTTATACTTTTGGTATTGATGAACATTAAAGGCTTAGAAAATATTTCTTATAAATTAACAATTTTTTAATCGTATCTTGAACGCTTTGGTTATAGATAATTAGTCTTGAGCAAACATGGGTAAATGAACATATAGAATTTATAACCAGATTTTTGTTTTAAAAAAAAATTGAAAGTCACGGACACTACTTCTCAGGGGTTACGTTAAGCAGTAATTTAGAAAAAATAACCATAAAAACCTTGATTGAGAATCTAGGACTTAAACTTGGTTTACATTCTCTTTCGTCCAGGCGGACGTTTAATGATGTAGGTATCCTTTATTTATAAACTATTAAATAGTAAAATAAGCTGTCCAGAAATACTGGAAAAGATTAATTGGCACGTTCCCGCCTTTAATACTCGTTCTACGACTACCATTTATGAATCGTTCCACTCGCAGTCTTACAGTTTTAATGAGCCCCTCAGTCGTATGTTAAGAGAATGATTTTTGTTTTTTTTTGTTGTTCTAAGTATAACGCTCAATACATAGTTTAGAAATAACGACTATTTTAACATTTTTAAATGATTGTAACTTTTCAAAAAATAGTTTTTTTTTTTAAAACGCACCGTCTTGCCCTCCGGAATATTGTTGTCTTTTAATTTTATAATGGGTGCTTTTACTCTAAAACCAGAATTAAGCGAGTCTGCTTAAACATGTTTTTACCACTGAAAATCACCAGTGCGACGCCCTCTTAAGCCTTTGTTTCAGATTTTTAATCCTAGTTCACGAAGTTGTAGACAAATTAATTAATTCTTCATTCCCTCACTTCGAAAAGTTTTGCATTGTGGCGGGCTCTCTTATCAAATCGCTGGTTTCCCGCGCCCGCAATAATAAAAACGTCGATTTATACTTTCGTCGAGCCAATCGGTTTTCCCCTGTAGTCGTCTCTTAATTTACACAATTAATGTTTGTGGTGAATTTCGTGATAGTGTTTTTATTAGAGCTCATTCCCTCGTTACAAATAAAAAGGTAAGATATGATTTATAGATTTTTTTTTATTCTTATTAAAAACTTCATAAAGAAGAGTATAAATTATACATATTTTTTCCGTTTGGGAATATTGAGTTTTTTTTTTTCAACCTATATTAGGTTGGTTTACAACGTTTTTAACTTCGCTCTCCATTTATCACGATCTTCAGCAAGTCTTTTTAATCCGGCGTAAGTATCAATCCCTGCGTCATTTTTCAGTTGAGATATGTACGAGTTTCTTGGTCTTCCTGGTGGTTTACGTCCTTCAATTGCACCTTCTATTATAGTATGATGCAATTCTTCGTCATGGCGTAAATGTAAAACGTGTCCCATCATGTCCCATCGTCGTCGCTTTATGGCTTTAATTATGGACCTTGTTTCTCCAACTTGGGTCAGTACATCTTCATTTGTTACTCTTTCTGTCCAGTTTATTTTCTCCATACGTCTCCAACACCACATTTCGAATGCTTCAAGGGATCTTATTTCCTTTTCATTAATGACCCATGTCTCGCAGCCGTATAAAGCTACACTCCATACAAACGTTTTCAAAAATGTCTTCTTAATTTCTCTGCTAATTTTTTTCGAAACCAAAATTTTCTTTTTCTTGATAAAAGCTGCCTTTGCTTGCCCGATTCTTTGTTAAATTTCCTGCGAGCTTTTTCCGTCTGATGTTATTAAACTTCCCAAGTATTTAAAACTAGAAACTTGGGAAATAAGTTGGTTTTCTAAATAAATATTTGCGTTAATTGTGGGTTCACGTGCACAAACCAAAATGTTTGTTTTACCTGAATTTATACGCATTTGATACTTATTTATAATTATTTGCATTTCTGCCAGGGCTCTCTGAAGGTCGTGCTCTGTTTCTGCTAATAATACGATGTCGTCTGCAAACCGGATCATTGGAATCAATATACCACCGATATTTGTTTTTCTATTAAGATCCTGAGTCCTAATATTGCCTCTCTAGTTCCCTTTTGTTTTCTGAATCCATACTGATAATTTCCAAGATATTGGTTGGCTTTATTAAATATCCTTCGATATATAATTTTTATGAGTATCTTTGAGGCGTGGGGGAGTAAGCTCAGAGTTCTAAAATGTGTACAAGAGTCAGCTTTATTCTTTTTTGGTAATGTTACAATTCTGCTGTTGCAAAAGTCCTTCGGTATTACTCCTGTTTCATATATATCTTTCATAAAATAGTACATCGCGTCTACTATGCTTTCACTTGCGTTTTGTAGTAGTTCTCCGGGGATTTTATCTATTCCCGGGGTTTTTTTATTTTTCAAATCTCTAAAACTGGTATTAAATTCACTTCTTAGTAGCGGTGCACCATAAGAGCACTCATCAGTTTCTTCATTGATATCTTGTAACTCATCCCCTTGATATAGTTCTTCAAGGTACTCTCTCCATCGGTTTACCACCTCTCTTGTGTCCAAGAGCAATTTACCATTCTTGTCTTTAACATTATTATTGCGAGTTTTATTTGTTTTGAGGAAACTTTTAATGGTTCCATAGGCTTGATCTAGCCTATTTGTTCCAAAAAGATGGTTTATTTCAGCACATTGTTGCTCTAGCCATTCTTCTTTTGCTTTTTTGATTCTCTGTTTATACGTTTCTTATGTTTCGATATTTTAGTTGTCCTTCCATGTCAGCCCGGTGTTTGTATTTTCGTCTTTCCACAATTAGGTTCAAGATACTTGGGGTGATCCATTCCCGACTAGGTATTTTTCTTCTCACACTTAGTGTGGTTCTTGAGGCGTTTATTACAACGCTTTTTATGTTCTCCCATCTTTTGTTTATTGGTTCTTTTCGCTCCTCTTTATTGTTGTATATTTTATTCATGTTTTTCTTTAGATCTTCAACTACTTCCACGTTTTTCAACTCTTTGAGATTATAGTTTGTTTGCTTTCTTTCAACTTTAACGATGTTTTTTAGTTTTATACAAAATTTCATACCCACTAGTTGATGGTCACTATCACAGTCTGCTCCAGGATAAGTTTTGCAAGATTTGACTTGATTTTTAAACCGATTCTTTACTAGTACATAGTCAATTTTGTATCTTCCTGTATCGCCAGGCATTTTCCATGTGTATCGTCTTCTCTTGTGTTCTTTAAATAATGTATTCGTAATCACGAAACTGTTTTCTCTGCTAAATTCCACTAATCGGTCTCCTCTTGCGTTTCTTTGACCTAGTCCATATTTTCCCACTTCTCTACCGTTTTTTCCTTCACCTACAACAGCATTCCAGTCACCCATTATAACAACGTTATCTTTTCCTTTTGTGAGTTTTAGTAGTTCTTCTATTCCAGCATATACTTCCTCAATTTCTTCGTCATCAGCTTTTGACATAGGCATATATACTTGTATTACAAATAGATCATTTGATTCTGCTTCCAGTTGGATCATAATAATTCTTTCACTGTATATGATATAATTTGTAACTTTTATTCCCCAGGTTTTATGAAGCACTACACCAATTCCGCATTGTCCGTTTTTTCCTTGGGAATGAATTATTCTATAGTTCTCTGACCAGAAATCTCCGCTGTTTTGCCATCTTGTTTCACATAAACCTAGTATTTCTAATTTCATTCTTTCCATTTCAATTATAATGTTTTCTAATTTGCCTAATTGGCGCATTGTTCTTATGTTCCATGTCCCTATCATCCTATTTTTCCTCTTCCTACAGGGATTCACCACTTGTACCTCGTGCAGGGTAGTTCCCACCCGAAGATCCGATTGTGGAACTATTTTACCTCCGGAAATATTTTTTACTCTGCTAAAGTCCATTGTTGAATCGATGTTAAAAACTGTTGTTTAACTAGGGAAAATAATGAGGTGGTATCCCGTTGCCTTCCTCATCACAGTGAAGTCGCCAGTTATACAGCTCCCATATCTGCCGACTTTTATCCGGTGTGTAGCTGTTTCTACCATAACTCTATGGTTAACTGCACCTTCACCCAGTATTGTAGAGGCTGCTGCCCCCCTACAAGTCCCTTTTAGTCGCTTTTTACGACAGGCAGGAACAACCGAAGGCCTATTCTACCGACGACCAACAGGGGTAAATTTCGGTAAATAAACAAAATTTCGATGTTAACCATTTCTGTACAGTACACCGGAATGCTAAAAATTAATCAAACACTGAAAAAATGTGACCAATTAGGTAGTTGTTACAGGTAAAAGTGTGGAATAGGAGCATACCCATAATGCCTTCTTCAACTAGCGAAGCCTAAGCTGAGTTGTTTTATAAGTAGATGTGTGAATAGAATGTATGATTGTATGTGTGAATAATACAAAATAAATCATTTTTTTGCCAAATGAGTTTTTCTGCTCTTGTTTTACTATCTATTAGTGTGTTTTAGCATAAATGAAATAAAGAGGTCACAATTCCTTAAGAATTGCTATAACTGGAATTGATAGAATGATTACAAAAACTATAAAAACTGTAGATAGCATAAACTATTCAATGTAATTACTAGAGCTTACGATTACACGGGTATTAAAATACACGGGTACCCGTGTAAATAAGAGACCCGGATTTTTAATTACCCGTGTATACCCGGGTATTTTTAATTAGCCGTGTATACCCGGGTATTTCAACTATCCGTGTACTCGGGTATTTTAATTACCTGGACACCTGGGTAGTTAAAATACCCGACTACTTGGTATTAAAACCCCAGTTATTCACTAAAATTTGTTCTATTAGTTGTACTTATGTTTAGAAATATATTTTTTCATTTAAATAATAAGCCTCGAAATCAACGACCAACGTCTAAAATGTGTTTACGATATTACTATTTTAACAATAAGTTTTAAATATAATATTTATATTAAATTTTAAATATATACATAAATATCTAGTATATTTAATTTTAATACTAATCATATATTATGCTGTCGAGATTTGTATTTCTGAGGAATGTAAATTAACTATTGATAACATATTAATCGGGTCCTATAGTATAGACATCGACATTCAGAATTAAAAACTGCCTTGTTTCTGCTTCACTAACTTCTTACTTTACAAGGAAAACAATAATTTGTCGCATTAATTAGTTAGGTTGCATCCATAAAAAAACAGTGTTTATGTTTTGTTTTATATGCTGAATATTTTTTTTAATAATCTTATGGTTAGTCCAACAAAATTAAAGTTACCTTAACTAAATGTTTATTTTATTACATTGTATTTGGACTTTGGTAGTTAACAACATTTGTTTTCAGTAAATACTAGTTTATACTTTATACAATGCAAGATTTATATTGTGTAATTTTTAAATATACTATTAGGTATACAAAAAATTCAAAAATTCCCAACTTCGTCAATCTTTACTTACATGACTATTATGAGTAAATTATGGAAGTTTTGTTTGACATAAAAAGTACGGTATATCCGGGCAGTTCATTAATAAAAACATTTTATGAAGTACAATAATTTGCCAATAAGTCAATTAATCAAACGTACATTTCGCCAAAATATATTTTTTTAAATTTGTAAATTAATTTGCTAAATACCCGTGTACATAATAGAACCCGGAAACCCGGATTTTTTATTACCCGGGTACACGGGTATTAAAAGACACGGGTACCCGTGTAAATAAGAGACCCGGATCTAGACCCGGGTATTTTTAATTACCCAGGTACCCGGTTTTTTAATTACCCGGGTACCCGGGTTTTTAATTTCTTAATACCCGGGTATTTTTATTACCCGTTCAAAACCGTAACCCCTAGTAGTTACAAATTATTTGATACATATATATATATATATATATATAAATGTGTTTATATTAACGTTATTTGAATTGTTTTTTATACTTTTGTAAGTAAATATTACGGCGTATTTGAATACCTACCTCGGTAAAATATGTAACAGGTTGCTGACTTTTTATTTTAATATGTTTACCGTACGTATTTTAAAAACGTTTGAAATAAGAAAAATCGACTTAACATTTAGATTGGACGATTAGGCAAAACAACTTAAATTAAAAATATAATTTTTTAATTTTTAGAAATTACACGATTAGGATTGGTAGTCTGTTTTTTATAATAAATCGCATTATTTTGCAATTGCATTCGCTTTATTTGAATATTAGCTATAAACATGGGTGTTATAATTATACAATAATTGACATTAATTATGTGGGATAAAGTATATTCTGACTTATATGTACCTACCAAATGTACTTTACAATAATGTAAATGCTCTGTTCAATTTTTTAAAATTTTTGTTTTTAAATATTTTATTTTATATTTAATGGTTTGAAGATAAGAATTATGTTTAGTCAGGTTTACATAATTTTATCACTCCCTAAAATGTAGGTCTAGTTGCGGGACGATCACAGGCCTACAGGAATTATTAGAACTGAAAGTGATACAATCACTTTCGAATAAATGCTTTGATGCGAACTTGTAATGGTAGAAACCAGAAATACAAATATCGATAAAATCATTGTGCCTAATAATAATAAGCTTAAACATTTATTTTTAGTATTAGGGTGGATACGATTAGGGTTAATTGTCTGTCTATAACAGTTGATTGCCATAGTCGTTACCCATGTATCATAATTAACAATACAATGAACATATTTTCAAATACTTGTTGACTGTTGTTTCACTCACACATAACAACCTAAATATTGACTACAGTCAATGTGTATTTTTTTCCTTTTTTTATAAAGGCAAGAAAGGTTTAAAAAAGTTTTTCAGCCGAGTCTGCAACCACGAAAGATCATTTTCATGTCCCGTTGAAGTACCGAATAAATATAGATTAGTTGTGGAATTATAATTAAAAAAAAAAAAATTACATGGAGCTTCCAGTTACAGCATAAGCCAAGGAGATTAAAAAATTATGTACAATCATGTTTCTAGCTAAAATTGTAGTGTTTATTATCTGGCCAAAAGTAACTTTACATAGTTTAATATATAGAGAATTAAACTGTTTTGAATTTATTATTTAGTTCTAATTTGAACGTTGAACGTATATCATATCTCTTATCTCCTATTTCTTACCCCTCCCGTCGGACAAACCGGATAGAAAATAATTTCGGTTATGTGCCAGAGCTAAGACATGAAAATGTCAAAAACGGATATTAAAAAGATGAACGATAAACACAAAACCATGGGAAAAAAAACTCAACAGAACAATTTTTAATACTACTTAAGTATAGTATAGAACGGATAGCTTAATTTGAGTTCAAGTGTTACAGAACCATTGTTTTATTAGTGATTTGTGTTTTAAAATGTTTGCGTTTTTTTAATTAAAATTCATTCCCTTAGGTGCTGTTATCAACAAGATCAAAAAATTGAATGAAAAAAAACATGTTTTTGACCCATATAGGATATATATGTAGGACCGTATTTGTAGTGAGACAAAAAAAGAGAGGTAAAAGTTATTAAAATAAATACATATACGATTAATTAGTTATTTTCGGAGATGGAAATTTACATGGCAAGTTGAACGACTACTGAAAAAATTAAAAATGAATATGAAATGATAATTTATTCAGGAGTTCTAGGCTATCATTTACATTGTTTAACAAATTGGGTATAAAACTAATATGATTTAGTTTACGTCTGTTTACAAGCGTATCAAGTTTTAATATGGACAAGATTGAACTTTTTTATTCAGTTTGCATATTCAATTGGGAAGGAGAAGGATACCACCACATTATAAATCTTAGTATACAGTATAATTCGAAGTTATGAAGAGATGGAAGATACTAGACCAGATATATTCGGAAATATCAGTTGGTTCAGCAGGAGAAGAAACAAGGTTACTCAGGTCGTTATTAAGCGAAATCCTTGGAAAAACATCGTAACGTGGAACGTGAGAACTATGTTAAGTACTGGATAGTTAGAGAATATTAAAGTTAAAATGACAAGGTTAGACATAGATATACTAGGGCCTAGGGGTGAGAGAAATACGGTGGTCAGGAAATGGAGATTTCTAGGCTGATGATTACTGTGTTATTTACTCTGGAGGGAATAACCAGGAAGAGCCAGAGTTGGAGCTATAATAAACAAGAAGTAGGGCCAACAGGTGATTAGATATCCTACTCTAAGTAATAAATAACTATACAATAATAATTATTAAGTAAATAATTAATAATTAATAATTATTAGATAAAAACTGTAAGGTACAAAAATATATTATTAAGTTAAGTGCACACAAGAAAACAATGTCGCAAGCAGAAATTCTTTGAGATGTAATTCTCATATATAAAAATTTACTCGACATGTATTTAGATGTATTAGACATCTAATTCTTCGTGTTTTATTCATTTATTCGTATGGATATTCGTTACATGCAATATATAGTACATAGACTCAGGGCCGTTGCTAAGAAAAATGCAAGGGGGCGTGTCAAAATGAAGATGCCGACTTTAAAATTTTAATTGCCTACTAAAATATTTGGGTACTTTCGTAAATATTTTATGACATTTTACATCACAAGACACAATTTTTTACTAAAATTAATGGGAATTAATAATTGATGAAAATTATTTTTTTTTAACTTTAAATTATTATTTTTTTAAGTATTAATTAATACAAACAAATTTAGATAGTAAAAAAACCATCAAAAGTTAAATTTTAATATGGCGTTTTTTTTAATGCGGACTATTTCCTTGTTATTTATTCCAAATCAATTATATCGAGAATATCTCTGGTGGAGTTTAAAATCGTGAGGGTCATTTTTTATTATTTTTAAAAGAATAAGAAGAAGAAAAATGATAATGATGTGATATTGTTATAAATTGTGACTAGATTTTTTTAAATTTTTTAAATGTTTTTCG